TAAAGCACGAGTTACTCCCTCTTTCCAGAGCCGCTCCTAGCCGCTATAGCATTTTTGGCCAGAGTTGCTTCCTCATACCAGAGTAACTCCCTCTTTCCAGAGCCGCTCCCAGCCGCTATAGAATTTTGGCCAGAGTTGCTCCCTCATACCAGAGTCACTCCCTCTGGCCGGAATTGCTCTCTCCTGCTCCCTTATGCAGGAGTTACTCCCTCTTTCCAGAGCCGCTCCCAGCCACAATAGAATTTTGGCCAGAGTTGCTCCCTCATACAAGAAGTACTCCCTCTGGCCGGAGTTGCTCTCTCCTGCTCCCTTATGTGGGAGTTACTCCCTCATCCAGAGCCGCTCACAGCCGCTATAGCATTTTTGGCCAGAGTTGCTCCCTCATACCAGAGTCACTCCCTCTGGCCGGAGTTGCTCTCTCCTGCTCCCTAATGCAGGAGTTACTCCCTCTTTCCAGAGCCTCTCCCAGCCGTTATATCATTTTTGGCCAGAGTTGCTCCCTCATACCAGAGTCACTCCCTCTGGCGGGAGTTGCTCTCTCCTGCTCCCTTATGTAGGAGTTACTCCCTCTTTCCAGAGCCGCTTCCAGCCGCTATAGCATTTTTGGCCAGAGTTGCTCCCTCACACCAGAGTCACTCCCTCAGGCCGGAGTTGCTCTCTCCTGCTCCCTAATCCAGGAGTTACTCCCTCTTTCCAGAGCAGCTCCCAGCCGCTAAAGCATTTTTGGCCAGAGTTGCTCCTTCATTCCAGAGTCACTTCCTCTGGCAGGAGTTGCTCTCTCCTGCTCCCTAAAGCAGGAGTTACTCCCTCTTTCCAGAGCCGCTCCTAGCCGCTATAGCATTTTTGGCCAGAGTTGCTTCCTCATACCAGAGTAACTCCCTCTTTCCAGAGCCGCTCCCAGCCGCTATAGAATTTTGGCCAGAGTTGCTCCCTCATACCAGAGTCACTCCCTCTGGCCGGAGTTGCTCTCTCCTGCTCCCTTATGCAGGAGTTACTCCCTCTTTCCAGAGCCGCTCCCAGCCACAATAGAATTTTGGCCAGAGTTGCTCCCTCATACAAGAAGTACTCCCTCTGGCCGGAGTTGCTCTCTCCTGCTCCCTTATGTGGGAGTTACTCCCTCATCCAGAGCCGCTCACAGCCGCTATAGCATTTTTGGCCAGAGTTGCTCCCTCATACCAGAGTCACTCCCTCTGGCCGGAGTTGCTCTCTCCTGCTCCCTAATGCAGGAGTTACTCCCTCTTTCCAGAGCCGCTCCCAGCCGCTATAGCATTTTTGGCCAGAGTTGCTCCCTCATACCAGAGTCACTCCCTCAGGCAGGAGTTGCTCTCTCCTGCTCCCTAAAGCAGGAGTTACTCCCTCTTTCCAGAGCCGCTCCCAGCCGCTATAGCATTTTTGGCCAGAGTTGCTTTCTCATACCAGAGGCACTCCCTCAGGCCGGAGTTGCTCTCTCCTGCTCCCTTATGTAGGAGTTACTCCCTCTTTCCAGAGCCGCTCCCAGCCGCTATAGCATTTTTGTTTGGCTAGAGTTGCTCCCTCATACCAGAGTCACTCCCTCTGGCCGGAGTTGCTCTCTCCTGCTCCCTTATGTAGGAGTTTCTCCCTCTTTCCAGAGCCGCTCCCAGCCGCTATAGCATTTTTGGCCAGAGTTGCTCCCTCATACCAGAGTCACTCCCTCTGGCCGGAGTTGCTCTCTCCTGCTCCCAAATGCAGGAGTTACTCCCTCTTTCCAGAGCCGCTCCTAGCCGCTATAGAATTTTGGCCAGAGTTGCTCCCTCATACCAGAGTCACTCCCTCTGGCCGGAGTTGCTCTCTCCTGCTCCCTTATGCAGGAGTTACTCCCTCTTTCCAGAGCCGCTCCCAGCCACAATAGAATTTTGGCCAGAGTTGCTCCCTCATACAAGAAGTACTCCCTCTGGCCGGAGTTGCTCTCTCCTGCTCCCTTATGTGGGAGTTACTCCCTCATCCAGAGCCGCTCACAGCCGCTATAGCATTTTTGGCCAGAGTTGCTCCCTCATACCAGAGTCACTCCCTCTGGCCGGAGTTGCTCTCTCCTGCTCCCTAATGCAGGAGTTACTCCCTCTTTCCAGAGCCGCTCCCAGCCGCTATAGCATTTTTGGCCAGAGTTGCTCCCTCATACAAGAGGCACTCCCTCAGGCCGGAGTTGCTCTCTCCTGCTCCCTTTTGTAGGAGTTACTCCCTCCTTCCAGAGCCGCTCCCAGCTGCCATAGCATTTTTGGCCAGAGTTGCTCCCTCATACAAGAGGCACTCCCTCAGGCCGGAGTTGCTCTCTCCTGCTCCCTTTTGTAGGAGTTACTCCCTCCTTCCAGAGCCGCTCCCAGCTGCTATAGCATTTTTGGCCAGAGCTGCTCCCTCATACCAGAGTCACTCCCTCTGGCTGGAGTTGCTCTCTCCTGCTCCCTAATGCAGGAGTTACTCCCTCTTTCCAGAGCCGCTACCTGCCGCTATATCATTTTTGTTTGGCCAGAGTTGCTCCCTCATACTAGAGTCACTCCCTCTGGCCGGAGTTGCTCTCTCCTGCTCCCTTATGAAGGAGTTACTCCCACTTTCCAGAGCCACTCCCAGCCGCTATAGCATTTTTGGCCAGAGTTCCCCCTCATACCAGAGTCACTCCCTCTGGCCGGAGTTGCTCTCTCCTGCTCCCTAATGCAGGAGTTACTCCCTCATCCAGAGCCGCTCACAGCCGCTATAGCATTTTTGGCCAGAGTTGCTCCCTCATACCAGAGTCACTCCCTCTGGCCGGAGTTGCTCTCTCCTGCTCCCTAATGCAGGAGTTACTCCCTCTTTCCAGAGCCGCTCCCAGCCGCTATAGCATTTTTGGCCAGAGTTGCTCCCTCATACCAGAGTCACTCCCTCTGGCCGGAGTTGCTCTCTCCCACTCCTTAATGCAGGAGTTACTCCCTCTTTCCAGAGCCGCTCCCAGCCGCTATAGCATTTTTGGCCAGAGTTGCTCCCTCATACAAGAGGAACTCCCTCAGGCCAGAGTTGCTCTCTCCTGCTCCCTTTTGTAGGAGTTACTCCCTCCTTCCAGAGCCGCTCCCAGCTGCTATAGCATTTTTGGCCAGAGCTGCTCCCTCATACCAGAGTCACTCCCTCTGGCTGGAGTTGCTCTCTCCTGCTCCCTAATGCAGGAGTTACTCCCTCTTTCCAGAGCCGCTACCTGCCGCTATATCATTTTTGTTTGGCCAGAGTTGCTCCCTCATACTAGAGTCACTCCCTCTGGCCGGAGTTGCTCTCTCCTGCTCCCTTATGAAGGAGTTACTCCCTCTTTCCAGAGCCACTCCCAGCCGCTATAGCATTTTTGGCCAGAGTTCCCCCTCATACCAGAGTCACTCCCTCTGGCCGGAGTTGCTCTCTCCTGCTCCCTAATGCAGGAGTTACTCCCTCATCCAGAGCCGCTTCCAGCCGCTATAGCATTTTTGGCCAGAGTTGCTCCCTCACACCAGAGTCACTCCCTCAGGCCGGAGTTGCTCTCTCCTGCTCCCTAATCCAGGAGTAACTCCCTCTTTCCAGAGCAGCTCCCAGCCGCTAAAGCATTTTTGGCCAGAGTTGCTCCTTCATTCCAGAGTCACTTCCTCTGGCAGGAGTTGCTCTCTCCTGCTCCCTAAAGCAGGAGTTACTCCCTCTTTCCAGAGCCGCTCCTAGCCGCTATAGCATTTTTGGCCAGAGTTGCTTCCTCATACCAGAGTAACTCCCTCTTTCCAGAGCCGCTCCCAGCCGCTATAGAATTTTGGCCAGAGTTGCTCCCTCATACCAGAGTCACTCCCTCTGGCCGGAGTTGCTCTCTCCTGCTCCCTTATGCAGGAGTTACTCCCTCTTTCCAGAGCCGCTCCCAGCCACAATAGAATTTTGGCCAGAGTTGCTCCCTCATACAAGAAGTACTCCCTCAGGCCGGAGTTGCTCTCTCCTGCTCCCTTATGTGGGAGTTACTCCCTCCTTCCAGAGCCGCTCCCAGCCGCTATAGCATTTTTGGCCAGAGTTGCTCTCATACCAGAGTCACTCCCTCTGGCCGGAGTTGCTCTCTCCTGCTCCCTAATGCAGGAGTTACTCCCTCTTTCCAGAGCCGCTCCCAGCCGCTATAGCATTTTTGGCCAGAGTTGCTCCCTCATACCAGAGTCACTCCCTCTGGCTGGAGTTGCTCTCTCCTGCTCCCTAATGCAGGAGTTACTCCCTCTTTCCAGAGCCGCTACCTGCCGCTATATCATTTTTGTTTGGCCAGAGTTGCTCCCTCATACTAGAGTCACTCCCTCTGGCCGGAGTTGCTCTCTCCTGCTCCCTTATGTAGGAGTTACTCCCTCTTTCCAGAGCCACTCCCAGCCGCTATAGCATTTTTGGCCAGAGTTCCCCCTCATACCAGAGTCACTCCCTCTGGCCGGAGTTGCTCTCTCCCACTCCTTAATGCAGGAGTTACTCCCTCTTTCCAGAGCCGCTCCCAACCGCTATAGCATTTTTGGCCAGAGTCGACGTCCCAAGGATGCGGTTGCACCCTTCGGGTCCCTCACACAATGGCCAGAGAAGGCGGCTGCCTCCTCCCGGCGTCTCAGGCGGTGGACAGGGTGCCACAGCCGCCACACGCCTTCTGTCCGACGGCCTCCGATGTCTCGGCTGGCGGTGCTGGAGCGCACCCTTTTACTGCGCCTTCTTGGCTGCTTCTTTGAGTCCCACTCTGGTTGAAGTCCTCTTCGAGGCGGGGCTTCCTTGCGGCTGACTGTGGGCTCGTCTTCTTATCTTTGACCACCTTGTCGCTCCACATGTTCCGCTCCCTATGGGAAATGGAAGTGTTTGGAGGAAAACCTAAATTATGGCTTTTCAATGTTAAAAATTAACAATCAGCACGCATTTCCATGTAGCCTTCATCCAAACGCTTTTGCTTTTTAAAATCTATTGCTGGTTTTACTAAAAAATATTTTGCAGCCTTGAAATATGCAAAATTTTGAAAATTTGTGAATTCATTTAGATTTTTTAAATAAAATCACGATTTCAGTGCCATAATAAATTTATTAGTCTTCTCTATCTATAATAGTTCGAACTTAATAAAACATCAAACTAATAGTTAAGGCAATTAATGTTATTGTTTTACGCCATCATAATATTAAATAAAATATTTAGGAATGAATATTAATGCAACACGCTATTACATTGTTTTTTTTTACATTGACATTGAAATTTTATTACTCCTTCTAGACTATATAGTAAGTAGATCAGCCCCGGCTTGCCTAAATTTTTATGTAAGTGTCTATGCAATTGAAAGAAACTGCAGGTCAAGAAAATGAACATCGATCAGAATGAAATATTAAAAACTGTCGTCAAATATATAAGTGCTTTTCAACATTTTAAGTCCTAGCCACATCATTGCCTACTAAGCTTGTTTGCTTTTGTGCGCTCTCTAATTAACATCCATTAAATTTTTCAGCACATTTTGTATAATTAGTATTTGACCAAGTGCGGCAAATTTAAAATTTTGCAAATTTAAGATATACCAGGCTGAGATAATATAATGCTAGAGCAAAATTATCATAAAAATCAAGTTATTATCTGCACATAATAGAATAAAACATTTGACAACAGAATGCAGGACTTCCACTGTGGTTGAATTCCATTTAGCTTAGAATTAGTCTCAAATTCAGCACCAGATAAAATTTTGGACAGATTTTGAAAGTCTTCAAGTGCAGAAATCACAATAATAGCTTCAAAAGCATGGTGACTCACTATTTGTCAGTTGTTAGAAAGGTGATATTTCTGCTTTAGGAAAAAAGAAAAGGAATGTTCAAAAATAAGTAGCAAGATTATCACAGAGCATCAGAAGTATTGGTGGCTGCGATCTAATATGGAGCGATAAAAAGGTTGGCATGCAGGTGCTTCAAGTGGTGAGGACAGTTTGCCTCAACTCTGGCCCTCAGGACTCCCGGTCCAATCAGACTGCTCAGCTGGTTGAGGCACTGACTTGCTGCGCTTGAGGTCAAAGCATTTTCACTCTCCTGTAAATTAAATTTATAAGTGCATTCTAAATAAGATATGTATTGTAATAATTTGTTTTTGTTCCGTTTGGAAATCAATCAATAGCAATCAAAACTGACTAATGCATTTCGTGATAAAAATAATGATTGTTATTGCTGTAGATAACTTAATAATATGAAAATTGACAATATATTTGTATATTCACCAGAGCATAAAATATTGGGTCAAAAAACTCATCCAAATGCTGCTTGAAATTTTTTCTGCCAACACCTTTAGCAATAGTGGGCAAATTTTTGCAAACCGTCTCCAGAAAAGTCAGGTGAGAGGAATAGTGTCGAAGTCTGCAGGCTTCGGCCAACTTAGGAAGGGCAGCAGCTACAGTGTTAGTTGCGCTCGGAACCATAGACAACTCGGCAAATAGCATCACACACCTGCGTCAGGTTGAGTATTATTATTATCAAAATCAAACAGTTCGATGGTCACTTTTGATTCTGTCAACCTTAACATTACTAAGTTTTTTTTTAATAAATCTAAGATTGGCAGTTAAAAAATACAGCTTTGATATATAATATTCAAAATTAAAAATTAAATTTATAAATAAACATAATTTAATCTCTATTGAGGAATCCTAGGAAGCTATTGAGAGAATAAAATTAAGAATTACCCGTCAGCAAATTCCCATGGCTGTGACGGCCTGCAAAACCTGTGATCCATGCTGCCTGTTCTGCTCATTCTAGGATTCATGGAGCACATCACCCCCTAGATAAAAAAATTTAATATGGGCATTGCAAATTTATCAAATTCATTGCACTCAAACCTGTTTGTTCTCCTTGAAGACGTCTTCAGGCTGCTTTTCAAGGCCCTGCAGACCTTTCAGGGCTCTTTCGAAAATCTGCTCCAAGACAGGTGACCCTCTAGCCCTGGCAACGCCGGCCAGTGCATTTGCAGCTCCAGCACGAACAGTGGGAATCACGTCCTCGAGGTTTCGGTAAAACAGTGGAAAGAGTGTGAGAAGACTGGACTCACACTCTTTAGGAAAATTCGAGGCGACACTGCCACACGCCAAGCACGCAGCTATTTGAGAAAAATTAATAACTCTTTAAATTTGAGTGTAAAGAATTTTTAGTACCATCTCTGACAGGCCAACTATCATCGTCAAATGCTTGCAAAAGGGCGTCCAGAAGTCGGTGGACAAAGGGGCGGACTGCCTCCGGGGGCAGTTTGGAGGCCACCTCTGAAATGCAGGAACAAGCCGCCTCACGGACTGCATGGCACTGTGCGTTGGCGCTTTCACAATAAAAGTCGATGACCTGAGGCAGGTTCTGGATAACCAGGTCGCGACCAAGGGCTCCTGTCACTTGTCGCCACGTTTCCTGAGAGTAAATTCTCACACCTTCCGCTGCGTAGTAGCTAAAGTTCACACATTTTCAGAATAAGAAGAATGCAGTTCATTTATTTCAAAAACAAAACAAAAAATACATTCCGCTGAGATAATTCATCTATGCAGTCACATAATTCAATTTTATTTAGATTAAAATAATAGTAATATATTACATTTGCTTGAATTAAATTTAACTTGAATTTTGAAGTCAATAAAAAGGTTTTACTGATATGTTTTTACTTTTTACAATATAATTTATAAAATTTTAGAGAAACAAAAAATTACTCTCATTGAATTTTCAATACATAACGGAGGTAAAGTTATTGTAAATAATATTAATAACAATAACCCACCTACCCATACCAAACTGTGTGTGCAAAACCTGCACCTCTTATTAGTTCATTTAATGCGTCATTTATTCTTAAAATTTGTCTCATAAATGAATATATAATTTCTGCTAAAAGAGTTACTTTTCTAAATATCAACATTATATTACCGATTAAGGCACATTCTGGGGAGGAGAGTGTGGTAGAACTTTTTCCTGCTTTTGTCGGGTAGCGCGCAGAGAAACCTTCTGACAGCAACAGAAGCGGCCAAGCGGACGGGACTCCACTCGTCTGCAAGACCAGAGGCCAGTCGTGAGGCCAAAACGTCCCCAAAATGAATTAACCCTTCGTGAGAGTTTTTTTCCGCTTCTGAAATAACAGTATCGAATAGAAAATTGAAATAGTCTTTTTGCACCTTAAATTAATAACCTGCAAGAGAAGTGGCCAAAGAGGCGGCCAAATAAAACGCTGCCTCTCTGGGGGAATGAATTTTGTGGCCCAGGGCACTGTTGAGCAGTTGCAAAAGCTCAATGTCCACAAAGGGCGCCATTCGACCACGACACGCCTCGGCCACCCCTTGTATTGTTCGGAGGGCAGCCTCCAAGCTGCCAAAACAGGTTATGTCGGCGTGCAAAATCTACAATCAAAAAATCATTATTTTCTGCTTTTTCCATTACAGGGTAAAACCAACCTGATCAGCAGTGTCACCCTCAATTTGAGAGTTACTGGGGTCATTTTCCATTCCTTTCCTTATCATCCCTAATAGCTGCTTTTTGCTGTCTTCGTACACTTGAGGCCCTTGTTTCTGTGCCAGAGCTCCAATTAGCTCGCCTTGAAAATGGTCAAAATTAGAGAAAATTCAACTTCTATTTTAATATTGACTTTTTCTGTCCATCAATTACCAAAATTATAGAATTAAAACTATTTTATAGAGCAGGAAAAACGGATTATTAAAAACATAATTTTATTTTCAAAATTTCTCTCAAAGTAAAATTTTTCTTTATCGAATAGCAACAAAAGAAAGAATTTAAAAAAAAAATTTTTTTTTAAGAAAAAAATATAAATATAAATAAATTGCAGTAATTATACATAATAAAAAATTATTATTGCTTTACATACCCGCAGCCGTTTGAATGCAAAGGTCAGTCGGGTGTTCCTTGAGGAGGCGGAGAGCCGGAGGCAGAAGGGAGGCGGCAGGGTTGGCCAGATGGGGCGCCAAAATGCGAGCGGCGCCTAAACACCCAATCAGCGCGTCCCTGGATGCGGAGGAATCGCGCTCAAGAGGAGCCGTGACCTGTTGAACAAGGGTGGCCTTTTCGGCCGGGGGCAGACCGGGGGCGGCTCGCTGCAGCTCAGCCAGCGCCGCCTCCCGCTCTAGCTTCTTGCCGTCAAGCAGGCGGCTCACCATTCGTTCCATGCCACCGCCGGGGGCGGCTGACGGCCTCCAGTGACCACTGTTCGCTCTGCGTGGCCTCCGACCCCCCAAATACCAGCTCTCAACCAGCTGGCAGCTGGCGGCCTAGGGCTTTGTTACTGCTGCGGCCTCCCTTGGCTGCGCCGGCTGCGGCTGCTTCATGGCTGGTGCTCTTGCAAAAGAAGAGAGAGTACATGAGGGAGACTAGGGAGGCGAACGTTTTATGCCCCCTTCTGAGTTGGCTGGCAAGCCTGGCAAGGAATACACGGAAAAGAAAGGATGCGACCGCAGCGCCGATCGTGGAATTTCTTTCGAAGCTCGATTCCGCTATAATTATTTATATCATTTTTCATGCATTCCTTGATTTCCTTGCCAGCCGCCAGTCTACTCAGAAGTGAGCATTCGCCTCCCTCATATACTCTCTCTTTAAGTCAGCGGTGCCAAGCGGCCGTTTTCGGCGATCGCGCTCGCAACATAGGGAAAATAACATGCGTCGCCCGTCGCCCCCTCTCTCCCGGCTCTCTTCTCTTCTCTCTGATTTGTTTTGCTTTTTCTGTTTGTACCAAAGGGCAAAGGATTGCATTTTATTATTTCTTTGGCAGAAAGGAGCTGCCGTTTGAAACGGAAAAGTTATCTAATTTGGCAATTTCTTCATTCGTTTTCTTATAATATATAATATTCGATCAGTAGAATGGCAACTCAGGGAGTAAACAAAGGTGCTAAGGAGGATTTCTGCCAAGCGATGATTGTTTTCCAACAATCAGAAAATCAAACAATCCAAATATAATTTAAAAAAAAAAAAAGCAAATCATAATAATCTAACGCAACCTCTCATACCGTGAGGTACAAGAACAAGAGTAGAAATCTAGAAATCTCGCTCCTAAAGGAAACGCATTTAACTCTAGGCTAGTGCAACGGGTGCAACGTTTCCCCGCCAGATGGCCGACAACAGAACGGAATTTTTACAAATTCAAAACAAACCAATTAAAAAACAAAACCATTCATCCCGTTTTAAAATTCGCTAATTTTAATTCAAATGGTGAAACAGTGGCTTTTGAACAATCACTACTTTGCGGCAAAAAGTGTCTCATGTGGCGTACGTGCGAGGCAGAGGTTGGCTGCCCTGCGCTAGGCGTGTGCACCGTGTCCGTGTCCGAGGTGGCCCCAAACTCGGAAGGGAGCGAGTGCGTCGCCAGAAGGGCCCGAATGAAGAGGAGGTGAGTGCATCCTCAAAGGTCACCCAGGGCACTACCGAAGGTCGGTCGTCGAGAGGGCGGTGTCTGCTGGAAAGAAGGGGTGCGGGAAACAGGAAGGGAGCGGAGAGAAATCGGCCAAAAAAAGCAAACAACACTGTCGGGCAGGGGGAGGGGTCGCAGGGGGCTGTCAACTTAAATTTTATGTATTTTTGGGGTTGCATATTTACGATTGGATTTCCTCGTCTGGCACAAATATCGATGTGCGCGGAAATTAATAATTTTAGTCTATTTCATATTATTCCAGTGATATTCGTTTTTCATTGATAAAAATACTTTTCTTTCTATTTCGGTTTGCTACATATTTTAATATTTTCTACCTGCACATTTCAAACAATATTTTTGGTAACCGCAGATTTATGCGGTTCCAAAACATTTTGGAATGTTTTCACCGACTCGATTGTTTTCACAATGAAAAATTATTACCGCTGCGAGGCGCGTCTGTTCTCTCCGGCGACAGGCCCGGTAGTGAAGGTCAAGGGTATTTATATTTTCTTTTTATAGAAAAAAACAAACAGAGAAAAACATTCAAATCGTGGAATTAAATCGCGTTTTCCATTATTGACAAAGTTGATAATTTCTCCACTTTCCTAACAATTCTCTTAGTCTTTTAATTAAAAACTGTAAACTTTTTTTTATTTCTCAGCGTACGTGATTTTTGAGCACAAGTCGCGCTGCCGCTGTGTCGCGCGCGATTAACGGCAATTTTTCGCACGTAGGCCTCTCTTTATCTCGGCCAAATCTGCTTGGGTCAAAATGAAATACACAATATAACATTATTTTCGGGGCCATTTCGTCTGGATTCGGCGTTCATTTAAATGTCCGCCAGCTGAGGCTTACAATGGAGGGGAAGAAGAAGAAGAAGTGCAGCAGTTCGGGTGCAACGTCAAACAAAATGCACTTTCGGCGCACGCGCCCTTGGTCCAATGCAGCCGAAAATTTTATCGATGCACCCACTGCAGCGAAAAGATCAATACTCTGCCAGAGTCAGCGACAAAAATTCTGCACTCAACTTTGTCCAAGAAAAGCACTCAATGAAAATAATTTTGGTGAAAATAATTCACCCTAATTTTTTTCCTTATTCACAAACATCCCGTTTGAATGTTACAATAAAAAATAAAAAAATGAAATCGATCGATAAAGTATTGTTTTTTTTTTTTTTTGCTGAGGGGGAGCCCATCCGTGTGTCCGTGTCTGGCGGCGTATCAGTGTCGTGCAGGGACGATGTGAGTTGAAAGGGCTTTGCTTTCAGCAGGCGGTGAAGGAGCGGAGGCGGCTCAAAACACCTGACCCACGATGTTTCGCGAGCAAGTGAACCGGCTTTCGCTGTGGTTCGAGCAGTGGAATGAGTGCGAGCAGACCGTGGCGCTTTACTCGCTGCTCAAACGACTGGCTCCGCACCAGGCGCGCTTCTGCTCGCTGGTGCTCGACCAGTGCCTCCAGGACAACCACGACCTCCTCCAGCAGGAGCAGAGGGCCAACAACCCAGGTAATCAATCTCAACGACTATTTCAGGTTCACCAATAAAAAAATTCAAACATAAAGATATGCAACCCGCACAACAATTTTTTTGTAATGAATTTTCAGTTTTTTGTCTCTTTGGGGTTTCATTCAGTTCAACCAATTTTTTTTTTATAAAATTTTAAAAGGAAAATGTAAGTAAAATTAAATTTCTTTTCCTGGTTTCTTCCAGTTTCTTCAAAGAAAGCTTTTAGTTTTCAAATCATGTTTATTTATGCAAGCCGCATAATTAAATATTTTCATCTTTCCACTGTTGATGAAAAACCTTTTTTATTACTGCTTTCGATTAGGAATTTAAGTTTTAATTATTATTATTGCTTTATGTGACAAAAATTAGAAAAATGAGCAATACCTTAAAAGCTGCAATTGGATTAACTGCATCTCTTTTATTGCCTTTTGGTGTGATATGCAAATCATAGATATAATTAATACTCTTATTATTCACCCATTTGAAAGTGATTGAACAGAAAAATAATTTAACAAAATTAGCGTATATTAAAATAGAAACTTTTCGTTTTCAGAAAATTTCTGTGTTCAGCGAGTTGCATTAATACAAAGTTATTTTTTAAATTATCAACAAATGCGATATTTTAGTTCACATCATTCCATTTTCATTCGCTCTCCTCGCTTCTTTTCGTTTTCATTCTCCCCCAGCTTCTCTAATTCCCTAACAAACTTGCAGCCTAGCGAGTGCAGAGCAGACGCAGACAGAAATTTATTAGGAGGGTCTGGTGTGGGGAATGTGGGAAGCTGCTTCATCTTGGAGAGGGAGAGCAAAGAGGGACCGCCCGCCCATTCCCGATTTCCCTCTTTCCTCTCGCCTCCCCCATTCACGGTCCAGACGCTGCAACAAAAATAAATTCATCTTCCTCTCTGGAGATTCTGGACCTCAAATTAACATTCCTTGCTTAGACTTGGCATTTAAAAGTAGGAAAGAGAGCTCGTTTGTTTCAAGTTTCAATATTTACAATTTTAAATTTCTAGAAAAAAAAATGATCTGGAAGGTGATAACATTGAGGGCGTTGCTATGAAATTTTGTTGCTTGTAAATTATTTCTAAAGATAACCAAACGGCGCAGTAGAACAAACGTATCTTAAGGATAATATATATATTATGTAAATTTGATTATTAGTTATGCATATATCTGTCAGGTTAACTAATATATCACAGTTTTTAGTAGATGTTCATGTCATTAATCAAAATATTTCGTGAATGATAATCGGAAAAAATATGTTGAAGAAATTAGTATATTTGAAATAATAAAAATCGAAAAAACAAAAATGATTTACACTTAAAATCATATAATATTATTATTATTTATTCTCTTTGGTTTTAACAAAACTCTAATCTGCGCTAATTTTAATTGAAACAATTATATGAATTCGTGCTAGACAATTTTTGAATAAAAATTAGGACACTGATTGAGAGCAAAAAATAAGCACTCACTTTTTCCCCACCCTTTATTATCTTAAGCATACGATCGTAATTTTTTATATCTTGAAAATTCGTTTTTTGCTTCTATGCATGAGTATAATTAATGAATTTTTGTTTTGTGTTGCAGCTTTTGTGTCAGGTCTGCTGGGCGAGGGCGGACGAGAGGGGGCGCTGCCGGTGGCGCCGCTGCTGAATCACCTGCTGCTGCTGCGTCCAGGCAATGCCGAGGCCAAGGCGTGCTACCTGGCGCTGATCCCGCGCGTGCTTGGCGCCGCCGTCAACTCGGGCTGCAACATCGAAGCGGCTCGCCAGCTGCTTTCGTACAGCCTGATCCATCCGGCCATTGGCTCGGATGACCGCAAGCTGCTGACTCAGTGGCTCAGCCACCTTGAGGAACGCATCAAGAATCCACCGACGCCGGCCAACGCTGCTCACCACCATGAGCACACCTGGGACGGATACGGCGGTGGACCAAACTCAAATGGCCACTCAAATAATGGTCAGCTTCATATTTTAATCAATTTTTAAATGAATGCAGATTGTCTTTTTATTTAAAATTCCACAAGATAGAATTGCCATCAAAATTGAGGAAGAAAAAAATCATAAGAGTAAAAATTATTTTAAATTTTTCACTAGAAATCCAGTGATAATTTCATGAAATTCAACTATTTTATTACACGAGTTGTTATATCTCTATTTTTGTGAGAAAAATGTCAAACTTGAAACATAGTTTCTTTATGTTTAAAAAGTTGACACTCGAAGAGATGATCATGGAAATGAAAAGATCGGGCTTTTTCCATAGTTTCTTTCTCTAAAATAGGTTAATAATTTTTGATTCCATTTTGCAGGGACTGAATGCCAACCGCGCGTGCGCAGAAGCAACAGTCTGACACCGCCGGTCAGCATCCCGCACGTGGACCTGAGCAGTTCGCAGGACGACTTGTGCGCTCGCCCAAAGCCGCGCAGCTTTTCTTTGTCTTCGGAGCACGCGCCACTCAGCCCGCAAAGTTCGTTGGCCTCCTCAGGCAGCGGCTCCGAGTCCCATTTGGACGAACTGCGTTCAGGATCTCAGGCGTCCACGCACATGGAGCACCCGGGCATGAAAGAGGTAAATTTTTCAACAAAAATGATGTATGCAGAAAAAAACCAAAGAAATTTTTTGATCAGGTGCCTTCGTGGCTGAAAAGTCTGCGTCTGCACAAGTACGCGTGGCTTTTTGCTTCACTGACCTATGAGGACATGCTGACCCTGACTGAAGATGTGCTTGAGACGCGCGGCGTCACCAAGGGGGCGCGCCACAAGATTGTGCTGAGCATCAAGAAGCTGAAAGAGCGGCCAGCAACGCTGGTGCAGCTAGAGCAGGAGGTGCAAAAAGGAGGCGGACTGAGGGCTGCGCTCGATGAGCTCAAGTCCATTCTGACCACGCCGATGAAGCCTCCAGAGATGGACACCCCGGAGCACGAGGACGTACCCAAACTTTTCACCAGAGTGCTTGGAAAAAGTAATTAATTAGCTTTTTTTTTTTGCAAATTAATTTTTAAAAAAATATCTTTTCAGTTGCAACGGCCCTTTTGATGGGTAACAAGCAACCTGAGGAGGAGGTTTTGGGCGCTTTTCACTCAGTGCTGGAGCGCTGTGTAACGCACGAGGCGTTTGACGCTGCATCCCGGTCACGTATTTCGGCCTGGCGTCAGCAGCTGGTGCAGCTCTTCCCACATGAGCGTCCAGTCCCCCAGAGAAAGTAATTATTAATTCCTAACTTGCTCACATCCTAATCTCTGAATAATTCCAAGATGGAGCCATCCATTCGGAGAAGGAGCAGCAAGAGGGCGTCCCCTGCAGGCTCCCGCGAGTCGTTTTGGGGGAAACACTACACGTCATGCATCACCTCCTGTGCTGGCAAGTTCTTTTCCAGCAGGAGGGACCGAGTCTCTGCTGAGTTCAATGCATCGCCTCTCGGACAACTCGTTCTTTGCCAAGCGACCTAGCCTTCAGGACTCACTGACAGAGGTGATTATTTGAATGTATTCATTGTTATCTGTTCTTCAATTATATTTCCCAGTATTTAAGAAATGCTAAATATATAAATTTTTATCGAAAAAAATATAAAATACTTTAATGACATAGAGAATGTGATTATGGAGAACAAAAGTAATGCAATAATAATGATAACGGATCCTAATTATTGTATATTATTTAGAAATTCTTTCCCAAAATTAGGATCATTACCTTTTACTTACACTCAAAATAACAGTTTTTATTATTATTTCACAATTAAAAAAAAATTAAATAAAAATCTCTCCAGAGGATTTTAATTGGAGCGTTTTAATGATCAAGTTTGTGCTGTATTTAATTGTGAATTCAATTATTGTCACTTTTAAATTTTATTAATAATAATAATAAGTAATAATAATAATTTAACAAAACATCTTGCATTGTTTCAGCCTTTGCAGGCACTTTGGATGCAGCAGCGGACCAAGAGCGCGCCGTCGAAGGCTGCTGCTGGCTCTCAGTTGTGCGGACTGGTGGCCACCTACGGCAAGTTGAGTGCGGCCGAGGCTGAGCCAGACATTAATTTGCGGCTCGAGTCGTTGTGCCGCAGCATGACTGAGCATGCCCTTGGGGGCACTGGCTTGGGTGAGATTTGACCCTTGACCCCGCGCGCCACACCACCTTGTGATGACGTTACAAGACTGACCACCTGCTTCTCCGGCCCAGGGTGTTTGTTGCCGCCACTCGTCCCCTGAGTTGCGGCCCCGCGAGGGAGCTGCCAGGGAGCCCCCGGGGTCCCTTTTCAAAGCAAAGGAACCCTGCGGGTTTTGCTGAATCCTCGCGCTGCGCCCCAAGTACAAACAGACAGATTCGTTTTTGTTGCACAGCCTGGCTGTGCTGCTGGCTTGCTTTCTAGTTGAGGGGAATCCATTTACATTGAGCTGATTTATTCTGCATAGACTTTCTATTACATCTCGCTTCACGGAGGTCAGGGAGCGAAAAGAATATTATTGAGAACTGGGCATGGAATGAAATTGATGACTTGAGCGGGCTCTTTATCCGGTCGCGCTGAATTTAAATTGGGAAAAGAAAACAAATGAATTAACAAATCGACTGAGAAACCAGAAACCTAGATGTGAAAATCCAGTCCCAAAGAGAAGAAAAAAGACTCGCGTGTCATAAAAATATTCGCATTATATATTAGAGCATAATTATCTCTACACTCGATTATATTGAATTGATTATCGCGTTATTTAGGCGTGTGTTAAAGTAAGGTAAGGAAGAACGTGGGGAGACGATTAACAACTTGTATTGATGGTGGTTTGTTTGTTTGTTGTTTCTGGTTGTTGTACCAAATCGTGTTTTGTTGGAGCGGCCCCTGGACGCGGCCTCCGCCCGTTCCTTTCACGGGCCTGCGCAACGACTGCGTGCGCATGCGCAGCTGTCAGCGCGCTCGCGAAACGAAATAATATTTGAAATATTATTGATTCGATAATTATAAAATATATTCACTTTGTCTCTCACAACACCGTGGGAATCGCTCGCGAACGATCATTTTTGACAGCCAATCGGAGAATTTGACTGAGGCAGACCACTGTTTCCTGCCGTCATTATAGACTAGGGTTTAAGCACTGATAGAGCATAGGACTGGGGACCCGAGCGTCGAACCCTCGCCGCGCCTCCTTGCAAGCAGACTTGGCTTTTCCTCGTGTTTTCGCCCGCGAGCCCGATCGCTTTGGCCCCGACCCCGAATTCGCATGCTTTTCATACAAAACTTGCATTTTTTTTTTTCAAAAATTTTTTCTCATCATTGTTCAACGTACGCAGTGCATTTTGGGCGTTGTGCGCATGTGCAGCATTTGGTCGCTGCGCACGCGCCTTTTCATCCTGCGCTGAAACTTCTTTCGCGACTGATTGATCGGTCCGTGTAAGAAAACAATTTTTACCGGGCTCGGGGCCTCTCTTTTGAGACTGTGCATTTGCAATTGCCGGCCATCCACGCTTTCGGTCGGGGGGAGGAGGCGCGTGCGAATTTCTGTTCGACGGGTCCACTGCTGGGTATGGTTAAAAACTGAAGTGTTGTGCAGTGGTGTGCGTAGCTAGTGTTTTGAAACAAGAAAAGAATTGTTATAACCCGACTAGCAGTTAATCGAGTTCATTTTTAAAATATAAATTGATCTTTATTTTACATTAAGTTTCTTGTCCCGAGAGAAAAATCGCGCCTTTATTGATTATTTTTTGTTACTCGCCGTTCAATCGTTTGTTTGAAAAAATAAAATTACATCTCAATTCATTGATGAAACACGCGGGTATTTCGCTATTAGACCATCATGTCTGTTCAGAACAATTACGTGAATTTTGTAATCTGGATTACGACTACTATTTTGGTTGATGATCGCAGCTTTAATTGATTCTTTTTTTACACCGTGCTTATGAGAGCGGAGGACTACAAGATTTTAGCAAGGCAGGCCCTTTTTTTAATCTATTATTATTTTTGCAAAATGATTTTATCATGATTTGGCGGGTGACTCGGGGAGGTTAATAAGACTGGTGGCCTCACAGATGCTGGGCAACACGTTTCGGCCGCCGGCCGCTCCTCCTCAAGCCGCTCTACCCAGAGAAACCAAATTTTGTACCGACAAGATTTATATTGTAAAGATGAATAAATTCTTGTATTCTTTCTCTATTAAATTACTTCGTCTTTTTCTAAAATTACCTGAGTGCATTAAACTATTTTTATCAAACTACTTACTCCTGCATTTATTGACTTGTTGTGAGAGAATGAACAAAATGAAACCCAAATTCAAATGAAACATTTCTGATAATGGATCTTCAAAAGTTACTTAATATATATTATTCCTATTTTTTGAAGTTAAAAAAACGGGCTTTGGTGAAATTTTTATTCAAGAAACGATTTCCAAATCAGCAGCAATTCTTGCTCATGAAAGGTCGCAGACTGTGACCAAATGAACTAAAAAAAAAATCAATGAGGAACAAAGCCCATTTTTTCACTTCCATGACCGTCTCCTACATTGAGTTTTAATTTTAATTTCTTCACTTAAGTTTCTATTCCTATCAATTTCTATGCAACAAGGAAATTAATCATTATTAATACGATTTATAAAAATCTAAGGGTATAACTGAAACTGACAAAATTGAAAAGTAATAATTTGCTAGAATTTAATAAATTACAAAATAAAATTAATGGTAAAAACGTGAAAACATTTTTACAACTATAAATAATAATAGAATTGTTGAAAAATCTTGATTTGACTGTGCCAATGAAGAGTCCTCTTCACACAAAGTTGGAAATCTCTCTCACCAAATATTCGATAAGCAAGTTTTAATCTGACAAAAAGTCAAGGTGATCAGCTTCTTGCGTGAAGAGCTTCACCTTTTGTGATCTAGCTGCCGCCGAATCAACTGAAAATGGGTTCCTGGACTTGGATAAATATCCTCATTCTGGGAGCAGTTGTAAGCATCTGATTATATTATTCCAAAAACTTAATATTATATTTATTTCAAAAGTTCAAATTTCTTCAATCATTAAAATTTCAAGATTTTTATTCTAGTTTAACGTTGGAAAAATTAGCAGTGGAAAATTTACAATAAAATAAGAACCACCGTTTTCTTGTCAGCTAAAATAGAAGTTTTTTTAATCCCGAAAAGTTGCAAAACGTTTCATAATTTTGAAAATTCGCCTTTGGACATTCAACAGCCACTTTTCTTATCAATTAAAAAAGATAAAGATTCGAATAAATATATTTTTTCTACAGTGCGTGAACGCGCAAGTACTGCCCACCGTTTACGAATACTACACCGAGGGTGGAATCAATTCTGGTTTGGTGGCGTCGCAGGGAAAATTCACGCTCAATGGGAAAGACATCACTTTGTACTCGGGTTCCATCCACTACTACAGGGTGGTGCCTGAATACTGGCGCGACCGTCTGAGGAGAATGAGGGCGGCAGGCCTGAACGCTATTGAGACGTAAAATTATAAATATATTCATTTATTTTTTTAATTTAAAATTAAAAATCTCATCAATAAGCTACGTTCCGTGGAACCTGCACGAGCCCAAAAAGGGCGTCTTTGATTTCGGCCAAGGCGGCAATGATTTTTCGCGCCTGCTCGACATTCGCACTTTCCTGCAAATCGCCCAAGAAGAAGACCTTTTGGTCATTTTTCGACCTGGTCCGTACATTTGCGCTGAGTGGGAATTTGGAGGCCTTCCGAGGTATTTTTTTTTTTTTTTTAATTTCTTTATTATGAATAAAATTGAACCAAATTCAGTTGGCTGCTGCGCTATCCCGACATCAAAGTGCGAACCTCCGACCCGATTTTCGTTGGCCACGTGCGCCAGTATTTTGACCAGCTGATTTCTCAGGTCGTCGACCTCCAGTTCACCAGGGGCGGCCCCATCATAGCCGTCCAGGTTAGAAACCTCACCCTTATTACCGAGAGTTAATTTAATCTTACATCACTGCTGCACCAGATTGAGAACGAGTACGGCATTTTTGGTCCTGGTGAAGAAGTTAAGGACAGGGTTTACCTGGGCGCAATTAGGGACGCGTACGTTGAAAATGGAATTGATCAGTTGCTCTTCACGTGCGACACCCCTGCCAACTCGTCCGACAACGGCGCCCTTCCAGGATGTAAATAAATTCAACTCATTTTGTTTTCATCCTAACAAGTTAGAAAAATCAATTGTGAAATATTTGTTGGGAGGCACATAATGAAAAACTCATGCAATCAAGAAGGCGATTAATATCACAACTACTCACCGCACTGCACACGAAACTACAGAGGGAAAAAATTTTTAAATATATTTTTACACAATTTTGAGAAATTTTTGAAACACAAGTTTTACATGGAGCCAAAATTCAAATGCACCAAAGAAATAATTAAACACAAATAAACTTTTACTTTTGATTGGCTGCAGATCTTCAAATGGCCAACTTCAACACCGATCCTGAAGTTCAGTTTGAATTGCTGAAGCAGTTGCAGCCTGACATGCCTTTGATGGCCATGGAATATTGGACTGGATGGTTTGACCATTGGTTTGAGTCTGGCCACAACATTGGAAACACGCCTGACAGTAAATTTTATGAATTTTATACTACACTGCAACGAATTAAATTATATCATATTTTTTTTTTAGATTTTGCGCGTTATTTGCAAACAATCTTCAGCTACAACGGCTCAGTTAATTTCTACATGTTCCATGGTGGCTCTGCTTTTGGTTTCATGAACGGCGCAAATGTGTTTGATTTCTTCCCAAACTACGCAGCTGACGTTTCCAGCTATGGTAAAATAAAATTTCAGAGAAAACTAAAATTTCAAATAGATAATTTAAAGTTTTCGTGATTTTTAACTTTTTAATAGTGTGGGTTGCCGCGGCGACCGAACCTCTTGTGATGTCGTTTTTTTTTGCACTTCCTCTCTTTTTCCAATTTTTTGAACCAGAGGAATAAAAAATAAATCAAAATATATGATGAAATTAATCACACAAAAATGCACTCTAAATTTTAACGAACTCTATTTTCCATGGGAGTAAACTTTTCCACTTTAATTTTTAGACTACGACGCTCCTTTGAGCGAGGCCGGCGATTACACTGAAAAATACTCCCGAGCCCAAGAGCTGATCGCCCTGGACAGCAAAGTGTCTTTCCTGACCCCGTCACCGCCTCCGCCGAATCCCAAAACCATCTACCCGGCCGTGCAAATGCAAGAGTACCTCAGCTACGCCCAAATAATTCAGCAAATCGTGACTAATTATTTCATCAAAATCTATATTGTCCATAAAGTAAATTTTTTAAATTTAGCCACCCGAGTCGATAACTCAGATTGACACGGTGACCAACATGGAAGCTCTGGACATCAACGATGGAAACGGTCAGGCTTACGGACTTCTAGTTTACAGGTCGCAAATCGATCTGCCCGAAATCGCACAGTTGCAAATCACAGGCCGCATCAGAGACGTGGGCATGGTGGTTGTGGACAACCAGCAGAAGACGAGACGGCCTGGCAGCCAGGCGGCTCTTCTGGGTTTTGGATATTGGACCACTCTGTAAGCGTGCAAAAATGTTTTTAATTTACTTTCGAATAAATTTAAAAAAAAGGGACCCTTCTTTCAACCTTGGGGGCGCAGCGAATGGAACAAACACCTTGGATGTGATCATCGACAACTGGGGCAGAAACAACTTTGGCACGCCAGGCGATTTTGACCAGAGGAAAGGTCTCTTCGGCGGGCCCCTTTCCGTTGATGGTGTCGCCCTGAGCAACCTGACCGCCATACCCCTTGAATTTAAGTCCGCATGGGTGCAAAAGTATTTTTTCCTTTCTATATATAATTTGGAAGGAACAAAATGTCGCCACTTTTTAGTCTGACTGGCTGGCAAACTCTGGCCGGAGGCGAAATCTTGGAAGGGCCCCTGCTCCTCAGGACAACATTTTCGATTACGGGCGCTCCGACCGACACCTTCCTGGACATGAGTGCCTGGAGCAAGGGCAGCATTTTTGTCAACGGTTTCCACCTGGGCAGGTTCTTCCGCCTCGGTCCTGTCCGCACAAATTACATTCCAGCGCCCCTGCTCAGAGAAGGAGTTAACGAGGTGAAAATAAATCGACAAAAAGCCGGAAAAATTTAAATTCCAATTTGCTTTATTTTTAGGTCATCGTTTTCGAACACTACGAGCCGGCTGATCAACTTGTGTTCACCGACACCCCTATTCTGGAGTGAAATTCAAGCACGTGCATGTGTACATGAAAATGTATAAGTTCGATTAATAAAATGAGAAACGAGTGCACCAGAGATAAATCCAATGATGTTTATTATGCGCTTCATTAACTCTCTTTGAAGAAACCGTTATCCGAATCAAACAGTCAAGATAAGGGCCTGCATACTATATTATGTTTTTATGAATAACAAATCGCTTGTGCGATGCGCGAGACCCATTTTTCACCCACTTTGATAAGATAATGAGCTGCAAGTCTTCAGCCAGTTTTTGAATAAATGTTTGGAGGGGGGCGCGCTCGAATGAAAATAAAAATCTTGAGCGGAAAGATCGCGACATCATTAGGAGGAGGCTATCGCAGCAGACATGCCTGGGCAAGCGTCTCTTCTTCTACTGCTTTTTGCAGTGAGTAAAATTGGTATATTAACTCATTGTCGATGAAAGGAGCTTGATTTTTTTTATAAACAGTATAATTTGCTAAAATTATTAGTTTTTGCGAAAAGTTGAAAAAACATACGGGATGCAAATATTTTAATGATTAAGATAGTTTTTAATATTTTAATTCATTAAATAATCAACGCATTATTGACTACTTTTACGAATAGTTCTTGAAACAAATTATACTCAAAATTACAGGTGAAAAACTCATTCGTGTCATAGAACTGGTATTTTTGTATGCGATTTATTTCTCTAATTTCACATTATACGAATTTGGTTTGGTCTTCAATCATTTATTATGATTACTGGAAATGAGTTACATTCTAGGAAACATTACAAATTGATTTTGGTTGATATTAATTCTAAATGATCCTCAATCTCAATATAATTATAGAGGTTGTTTAAACAGCTTTATAGTAATAATACTAATAATATTTTTCACTTTTTGTTTTTGGGCTTCTTCAATTTGGAGCTTTTTCCGGGAATTTTAAGGGCGTTTAATCAGAAATTTCTTGCATTCCAATATATACAGTGAATAAAATGTTGAGAATTTAGTAAAAAGCGGCCTGAACATATCGAGAGCACAGTGTTGCTCATTCAGTATCTCAGCTCCACTATCGCTCAAACACACGCTTTTGAGAAAAAAAATCCCTAAGTGGTGATCACGATTTAATACAGTGGCATATTTTTAGACGAGTGCAGACGAGTGTAAGGGAAACTTTAGAAAAATAATAATAATAACTATATCATGCAACTTAGTAAAAAGCTTAAAAGGTACGTCATAATTTGCAATTTGTAAATTAATGATCACTTTTTCACCCTGAAAGATGCCAATTCATTGCATCTCTTATTTGAACGACAGGGATTTTATATATTATATGCTGCATCTATATCAATAATAATACCATAGATTTCAAATTTGGGAGCAACGACGATTCTAGTTTGGTATGTGTGCATTTGCATAACCTTTGTTTCACTGGGCGTTAATCTTTAGTAGGTTATCATTGGCAAACTGGACGAAGTCCTTGTTAGTTCCGCCAGTGTTTGTGTTTGCTTCATGTGAAGGTTTCCTTTGAAATATCGGCAAAAAGAATAAATATGGCAAATGGCAATTAATACTTCCGAGCGATTTATTAATACGTAAGCACGAAACACTTCTAGTTGGACCTAAAATTGTCCCTTGGATATATCTGCAGGGGAGCTCCGCGTTGATTTTTTATTTCTGTTCCGTCAAAATCAGGGTATCAAATTTGTACGTATTGTTCACGCTTGTTTGGAAATATTGTAGCCGTGAGATTGCATTTTTCAGAGATGCCTTAAATTTTAAGCTTATACAGGGTAAAAAAAGTACAATGCGTTGGAGAAATCATACAAAATTACAATTATTTTTCACGTGCATCAATAGAAAGAATAATAAATTTGTTGCACAAATTCAAAATGTCAAATAGAGCGGTTACTGCTTTTGAAAGCCGTGTTGGTCAGGTTGTAATATAATTATTTTACATTTTGATCTAAAATGGTATTGAATCAAAAAAATTCAAGAATTCATTTATTTCGTTAAGCATAATTGCTATAGATGCATCGTAATTAATTGTTAAAATAGGCCACAGTACAATATTCAAACGAATCAAGTCGTAGATCACAAAAGCTTCATATAGCTCTTTTATTTTAAAATATCTTTTCATTTGGATAATCAGATGATGTGTATAATTGTGATTAGTATAATATAATAATCACATCATAATTTTCCATAGTCCATGTAAATATTGTTTTAAATAAATTAACAAACATACTTACCATTTTGATCAAAATAATTAATATAATAATTAACCATAAAAGGTAGGATTTATACAAAAATTTACTTTTGTTTTCATAAAAGAAGACAGACCAAATCAGATTTTCCAATTATTTTTGTTGGAGTATAGTGAACAGATAACTTGTTCACAATGAACTTTAAAATTTTTTTGCTGCGTTTATAAAATGTTTTCAATATTTTTTTTCTAACCTAAAGGTTGCTGCTTCTGGGCAAATATTGCCAACCCTTTACGAGTATTACACGGAGGGAGGTATAAGTTCCGGATTACAAACGCCGCCAGGACAATTCAAACTAAATGGAAAGGACATCACTTTGTACTCGGGCTCCATTCACTATTTCCGAGTTCTCCCCGAGTATTGGCGCGACAGGTTGCGGCGAATGAGGGCCGCCGGGCTCAACGCCATTGAAACGTAACTCAAAAGCATTATTTTGCGAAATTCCTTGTTCTGATTTCTCTTTGTAAAAGTTACGTGCCGTGGAATCTGCACGAACCTGAAATTGGCAAGTTTGATTTTGGCGACGGCGGAAACGATTTCTCAGCCCTCGTGAACATAACCCAATTTTTGCGAATCGCGCAAGAAGAAGATCTCTTTGTCATTTTGCGTCCTGGACCCTACATTTGCAGCGAGTGGGATTTCGGAGGCCTGCCAAGGTTTTATTTGAAATAAGTCTAAAATTATAAATCAAAATTTTAATCCATTCAAAGTTGGCTGCTGCGTTACCCTGGGATTCAGGTGCGTACTTCAGATCCAATTTTCACTCGGCACGTGAAGCAGTTCTTCGACCAACTGCTCGCTCAAGTTGTCGATTTCCAATTTACTCGGGGCGGCCCCATCATCGCAGTCCAGGTTATTACTTTGACAGTTTATGAATGTCATCACAGTAATTAAGTTAAAAAAATCAGATTGAGAATGAATATGGCTCATTTGGCGCGGCAAACGTGCAGCAGTCGTATCTCCAATTCATCAGGGACGCGTATATTGAAAATGGAATCAGCGAAATGCTCTTTACTTGCGACTCGGCAGTTAGCTCTGGAACTACAGGAGCGTTGCCTGGATGTGAGTTGATTTTTAATGTTAAATATAAATTATAATTGCGCCAAGATTTATTTTAAAATCGCGTTCAACTTTGAGCATAAATTTAATTTCCTAAAAAAGTAATTAATTGGCACTCAAAAAAGACTTTCTTGTTGAAAAAAAGATTTTTTATTCATAAAAAAAATAGCCTTACCACTTCCGGTCAAAGTTTGCAAACCTATCCTATTTCACAAGGAAGAAAAAATACAAAAATTTGCAAAATTGAAAAACGACTTTTAACCAAAATTTTTAAAAATCTTATTGCTAAAACCAACAAAATTCATGCGCCTACCTTTTTATTTATTAAGCAAACGCTTGAGCAGTGCGTTTACTCGCGAAATAGATTAACATGAAATTTTGAAGATTCGAAATTTTTTTTATTATTTTTTAATTTTGCCTATTTGTGTATTTTTTCTTGCACATTGTGGCCGAAACTAGTACAGCCATTTGATGATCTATAAAAAAAAATTAGCGTGCTTCGCTTAAAAATTTAGCTTTTCAATTTCAAGCTTTCTACGTAAGATTTTAATATTTTTAATTATTTCAGACTTGATGATGGCAAATTTCAATACAAATCCTGCCGCTCAGTTCGACAAACTTCTGGAGCTGCAACCTGACAAACCACTCATGTCGATGGAATATTGGGCGGGATGGTTCGATCACTGGTGGTCCAAACACGACACTGGACTCACTCCTGAACGCACGTGTTTTCTAATCTCCGATTTCTCGTTTTTAATTATAACTTTCAAAATTTTAGAATTTTCGACGAATTTGGGAATAATCTTCAGTTACAACGCGTCGGTCAATTTGTACATGTTCCACGGCGGCAGCACCCACGGTTTTTTGAACGGCGCCAACGCTTTGGGCTCTTACCCATTTTACGCGGCGGACACGTCTAGCTATGGCATATAAATTTACTAAATTTGAACTTTCATTTATTTAATTATATATGTGCTTCGTTTAGATTACGACGCACCATTGAGCGAAGCGGGCGATTACACGCTGAAATACAACTTAACCAGAGACATGGTCGCTCAGAACAACAAAGTACAAACGCTCCTTCCTGCGCCGCCTGCCAATAGCATGAAAACAGCCTACCCTACCCTGCCCATCACTGAATACCTATCCATCGAACAAATCATTCAACAAATCGTTAGTTCAAAAAATTTAATTTATATATTTTTTTCTTGTTTATTTTTTATTTCAAGCCGTCAGAGTTGATAACACAAATAGAGACAGTCACAAACATGGAAGCCTTGGAAATTAACGGAGGAAGTGGTCAGAGCTACGGTTTGATTGTTTACCGGAAGCAAATAGATTTGCCACCATCGGCACAATTGCAGATAATGGGACGCATCAGGGATGTGGCGATGGTGGTTGTTGACGGTCAGCAGAAGACACAAAGGCCAGAAGGTGGAATTTCAAACGAATCATTCGGCTACTGGACTGTCGCGTACGGAAAAGGATGAATTTTTATAATTGAAAATTAATTTAAAAAATTCAGAGATTCCACGTTTACAATTGAGGGCACTGATGCGGGAATCAACACGTTGGACATCATTGTTGACAACTGGGCCAGAGTCAACTTTGGTTCGCCGAAAGACTTTGAGCAGAAAAAGGGTCTGTTTGAAGGAACTGTGTTGGTTGAGGGTCAACCCCTGTCCAATTTGACTGCCATTCCTCTCGAGTTTAAGTCCAAGTGGATCAAAAGGTTGTTAATTTTATTAAACTATAAAATAATTTCTTATTTAATTTTAAATTTCAATTCAGTTTGACAGGTTGGCAGCCAATTCAGGGCCAGTTGCAGGGACCCGTCCTTGTCAGGGCCCAGTTCCAAATCCAGGGCACGCCGACGGACACCTTCCTGGACATGAGTGGCTGGAGCAAGGGCAGCATTTTTGTGAATGGCTTCAACTTGGGCCGATACTTCCACCTGGGACCACAAGTAACCAGTTACATTCCGGCGCCGCTGCTCAAAGAGGGCGATAACGAGGCAAAATTGATTTTCATTTCAAATTTAGAAAATTTATATATTTTTTTTTCGTTTTTACACAGATTGTGGTGTTTGAGCATTACATTCCAGCTACTCAACTCGTTTTTACAAACGTTCCGATTTTGGGCGGCAAGCGGAAAGGAGGCGCCTAATAATCAAAACGCTGAAGACTGCGATGTTATATTATAATTTGTATTTTAAAATATGTTATTTAATTTTATAATGGTTTCAATTTGCTATCTTTGTTGCTACTCGGAATATTAAATTAAATTAAAAATGGCTATTTCATTTTGTTTTTCACCTGCCTCAATCAGCACATGCGATATCTTTTGATATGCTGTTTTTTTCTGAGGTCGTTTTATGGTACGTCAAATAATATGTCAAACCTGCTCCGATTAAATCAATGTGAGATTTCGTGGCGACAATGATAGACGTAAAAATCCTTCTTGTTTTGGGCTGCCTTTTGTGTGCCGTGTGCATTGAAGTATATTGATATTTTTTCTAATAATTTATTTCTTTTAAAATTTTTAAACAATATATTAATTAAGGGCCAAGTGTTGCCAACAGTGTATGAATATTACACAGAAGGGGGAATTAATTCAGGACTAGAGGCTCTGCCAGGCCAATTCAAGCTCAATGGAAAAGACATTACCCTGTACTCAGGGTCCATCCACTATTTCAGGATGGTGCCCGAGTATTGGCGCGACAGACTGAGGCGAATGCGGGCTGCAGGACTGAATGCGATCGACGTGTAAAATTGTCCATTTTTTTATGAAATACAAATATACAATGTCATTTTATAAAACGGTTCAGTTACGCTCCTTGGAATCTGCACGAGCCAAGAAAAGGTGTTTTCGACTTTGGAAACGGAGACGAGGATTTTTCAAAGGTGCTCAACATTCGGCAGTTTTTGCAAATTGCTCAAGAGGAGGATCTTTTGGTGATTTTGAGACCGGGTCCGTACATTTGCAGCGAATGGGAGTTTGGAGGACTTCCTAGGTATAAATGTGTATAATTTTACTTAAAAATAAAAATACCTAAAGTCAAAAGATTAAAAAAAAAATGTATGAAACTCACAAGCTAGTTGTATTTTGTGTAAAATGTTGAGGAAAAAAATAATGTTTCCAGCTCGGTGAGAACGTTAAATTTTTTTAAGGTCAGGCCAACAAAAAGTCTTGTCGGCCTGTGCCCCTAATTAAAAGTGCAAAAAGCATCGCATCACCCAATTTTTTTATTTTATTTTGCAAGCGTTTTTTTTCACTTTTTGGGTTCATCTTTATTTAAAAATCATTATCATTTTAAAACATGTTTGCTTCCCAATTAAGCCTATGAGTTTTAGTAAGTTGCTTAATAAAGCTTGCTTAATTCTCTCCCAATGTTACTTTTCCATTTAATGATGCAAGGGGAAATTTATTTTATATACATGTATTTAATTTTTTTAAGAAAAGTTTTATTTTTTTTTTAAATTATTAAACTATTTTTAGTATTAATAAAAAAGGAATCAATTTTTATTGCTATTTAAAGTTGGTTATTGCGCTACCCTGATATCAAAGTGCGCACCTCTGACCCAGTTTTTACCGGCCACGTGAGACAGTATTTTGATCAATTGTTGGCGCAAGTCGTCGATCTCCAATTTACTCGCGGAGGTTCAATAATCGCCGTTCAGGTAAGCAATTCATCCTAGAATTATTATTTTTATTTTTACAAGAATTTATATCAGATTGAGAACGAATACGGCTCTTTCGGTCCTTACGACGAAATCAAGGATCGCGACTATCTCGCTTTCATTAGAGACGCTTACGTGCAAAATGGAATAAATGAACTTCTCCTTACGTGCGACTCGCCAGCACTCGTCGGAGACACAGGATCTCTCCCCGGATGTGTGTTGAACGTTTCAATATTAAAATGTATTTGTTGTATAATTTCATTTATGTTTAGATTTGATGACTGCTAATTTCGACAACAATCCCGCCACCCAATTTGACAGACTCCTCGAGCTGCAACCGGACAAACCGCTGATGGCCATGGAGTTTTGGAGTGGTTGGTTCGACTACTGGTTTGGAGTTCACACCGGCGGCCTCAGTCCAGAGAGTATTTAAATTTTAAGCATTTAATATCCCCCTTTTAAACTATAAAATTTTTAGATTTCGCTGAGCATCTGACGACGATTTTCAGCTACAACGCATCTGTGAATTTTTACATGTTCCACGGCGGAAGCACTTACGGTTTCATGAATGGCGCGAATAAAATTCCGGTCTTCCCTGGTTATTTGTCTGATGTTTCCAGCTACGGTATTTATTTCATTTTCAAAAACATTGTTATTTCCAGTAAATATTATAATAATTAATAATCTTTTATTGCGTGTGTACAACTGTCTCAGATTACAGTGCACCTTTGAGCGAAGCTGGAGACTACACGGAAAAATACAACATCACAAAAGATCTGATCGCCTTGGATAATGAAGTGCTAACTTTGACCCCGGCACAGCCTCCAAACAACCCCAAAACAGCTTATCCTGCACTGCAAATACAGCAATTTCTAACTTACGATCAAATTATTCAACAAATCGTAATCTGATAACTTTCTTTGACCTTTAAAAATAAAAATTACTTTTAATTCTATTTACAGCCTCTTCAGTTGAAGACCCAAATTCCAACGGTGATCAACATGGAAGCTCTTGAAATTAACGACGGAAATGGTCAAAGTTACGGACTCACAGTCTACCGAAAACAACTTGACCTCCCAACTTTGGCGGAACTGCAAATAGTGGGACACATCAGGGACGTTGCCATGGTGGTCGTCGACGGCGTGCAAAAGACGAAAAAACCACAGGGCAGTGGTGCCCTATTAGGTTTCGGATTTTGGACTAACAGGTACATAAATAAGAGGAAAAAATTTCACTGATTTATTGATAGAAAATCACTTTTGAATAGAAATTCGACTTTTGCGATCGAAGGCGCCGCTGCAGGTTTGAACACTTTGGACGTTGTGGTGGAAAACTGGGGCCGAGTCAATTTTGGCGGGCCGGCGTACTTTGAGCAAAAAAAGGGTCTGTTTGAAGGGCCGCTGCTGGTGGACGGTGTTGAACTGACCGACCTCGAGGCCATTCCTCTGGAGCTCAAATCGAAATGGATCAAAAGGTGCCTTAATTTATAATAATTATGAATGAAATTAAAAGTTTAAAATCGACTGCACGCTATTGAAGTCTAACTGGATGGCAAGCGTTTGAAGTCAACCAAAATATGACCGGACCGGTTTTGTTGCGAGCCACCTTTGACCTGAGTGAACCTCCCCAGGACACATTCCTAGACATGAGTGCCTGGGGCAGGGGAAGCATTTTCGTAAACGGTTTTCACATGGGCAGGTTTTTCCACGTTGGACCTCAAATAACCACTTACATTCCAGCGCCCTTACTTTTGCAGGGCACAAATGAGGTTAGTTATTAATTCCAAAAATGTATACGTGTAAAAAAAAAATGTTTTTTCCAGATAATAATATTCGAGCATTACTTGGCGGCCGACGAATTGACGTTCTCTGATGTACCAATTTTAGGACGAAATTAATTTTTTCTTTGATTACTTCCCCTTTCCCCCAAATCTTTCTGAAATGAATTATTTAAAATTAAAAAAAAAAAAAAAACTAAAGACGATAATGTTTGTTTGTGTTCATTATGAGTTTTTAAGTAGTTTTTTTCAAAATAAAATAAAAATACTTGATTGTAATATTTGCTTTTTCCTTTTTTTGCTTTCAAGTACTTTTGAACTATTCTGCAAATGGGGCGCGTCGCAATGAGACATAACTTTGTGGTGACGCCTCACAAGTCAATTAATAAATAAAAATAATTGATTTATCAATTATTGTAATTTTATTATAACAAAATTACAATTGCCGACCTCGATCGTCAGAGAAAATAGTCGCGGATGTTAAAAAATAGAGTTATTAAATTAAGTCGGTGCCTTCTGCATGACCAACCAAAGAGCAAAGGCCGACGAGACCCTTGTCTTGGCCTAAACCCCTAATTCTTGAATCTTGAATATTTGTCAGCGACTTTGGCGCCGCGACTGCTTCTGCCTTTATTTGTCTCCGGGCGTGGCTTTGCATGTCAGCTGACCGCGGTCACGTGACTATGCGGCGAATGTTTTGATTTTTGATTTTCTCAGTTAGTGACTAGTGTGACAAGAGAAGCAAGCCGACCTCCGCAACGCCCGTCCGAGTTTTCAAATCCGCAGGACGAACGCTCGATGCGGTCGCCGAGGTGATCCTCCGAACCGGAACATGAGCGGCATGGAAATCGAGGAAATGCTGCTTTACAGCGCCAGGCACGGCGACCTGTCCATGGTCAGGGAACTGCTCGAAGCCAGGGCGCTCGGCAAGGTCAACTTCGACATCAGTTGCAAAGGTGATGATTTATTTATTTATTACATATATTATTGTTTTTTTAATTCATTTTTTTTTTATCACATTGATTTATACACATTCAATAATTGAAAATATTCGTTTGAGAAACGGAATTTTTATGATAAAACAGCAAGATTTTTGCTAAAATAACTAATAAAATTAATTTTGAAGCACACTAAAAGTGAAAAATTAATTCAGAGAATATAATTGCTACAATCTTCAAAGCTGAAAAAAAAAAATATTATTTCGATTTTAACATAAATTTTTAAACTTTTGCGTCCATTATTTTAATTTCAATGATTAATTTTATTTTTTCTTCACTAACACACTTTACAGAAGATTATTTATATTGTTAAATGCTTTAAATATTTATTTATTTATCATAAAAACTGAAATGAAATCAGTCTTAAGAAATAATTTATTTACTTTTTCGTACAGGTCAGGCTAAGAGCAATCAGGGTTGGACACCGTTGCACCTGGCAACTTACTTCGGACACCCGCGGATGGCGCAGCTTTTGCTGGAAAACGGCGCCGACATCGACGCCCTGAATGACGCCGGCGACACACCTCTTCACAAGGCGGCCTTCATCGGCAGAGAGGTGTGCAATTTTAAATTTAAAATTCTAAGCGGATTAGCCTGATTATTGATCGCGCGCAAAACAAATTTGACACCTGCATCGATTCCGTGTCATGTGCTTCGTGGTATTGCATTGCAGGGGGGAAGAGGATATCCTCCTTATGAAATAAAATGCTGGTCACATGATATCTGTCAGCAGTTGATTATATGAAAGAGAATTAAATAAATTCATGCACAATGAAAAATTCTATGCCAAAAGAAATCGATAGAATATTGGTTGTTTCAATTTCTTGTCTAAAAAAATATTTTAAACACAATTTGTGACTCGAGAGATAAAAATACTCCCTTTGCCTACAATTTATTGTAAATTAATTAGAATAATTGAATTTAATGTGTCATTATTTCTTTAAAATATCATAATTGATAAACTTCCAAAATGGAACAAAAATGTGTGTCAAATTTATAAATATTTCCACTTTGTAGATATTTAATTTTATTACGATAATTTTTTTATTATTATGTTTTTTGTTTTCAAGGACCTTGTTCTGCTACTATTGGAACGTGGGGCGTCCATCGGCGTCATAAATGGCGAGGGACAAACCCCTCGCCATGTCACCGACTGTCCTGAAGTGGCCAAACTTCTGCTGGCCGCCGAGCAGACGGACTCGAGGAGGCGTGAGGAGCGTCTCTTGGCGGCTGCCAGAAGCGGCCAACTGGAAACCATTCACCAAATGGTTTGAACCGTTTGCACATGTTTACAATGGAAAACCTAACCTTATTATGCATTTCAAGTTGCGGGCCGAGAGTGCACCAAACATAAATTGTCAGGACAATCAGGGCAACACTTGCTTGCACTGCGCCGCTTACAGAGGACACAAGGAGGTGGCCGTGTTGCTTTTGCAGAACGGAATCGATACCAAGGTTAAAAATAACAGAGGTAAATTCAACGTTTAACTTTAAAAACGTAACAAACAAAAAAACATTTTGCATGACGTGAACAATTTAATAATTTTCTTTTCCATTAATAAATATAAATTCTTGTTATATTATAAAAAATCAATCTGCTTTGATTTTTTTTCATTGTATGGAATTTAAAAATTATTTTTTTTTTAATTTTAGAAAACTAGAGAATTTCATTCAATTTTATTATTTTCAGGACAGACTGCTTTGGATCTTGCCAAGGATGAGCAAATGCATCAAGTTTTAAGTGTGCAGCCTGTGCGGAGGTTGTTGAAATCTGCAACCAGATTTGAGGGAATGCTTCTGAAAAGGTCCAGATTCCTGGGCTGGAAACCAATTTGGGTAAGAAAATCTAACACAAACAAACTTTTTCCCTCTAATTCAAATATGAAGGTTGTGCTTGAAAGAGGCGTGATGGCGTACTTTGCGTGTCGGGCAGACGCGTGCTCAGGAGTGAAACGAAAGGACTTCAAGTACCTGGACGGCGCCCGAGTGGTGCCCATCGAAACGGACGAGTGCTCCTTTTTGGTCAATTTCTCCGACTCGACCGTGCACAGATTGAGTGTTGTGAACGACGGAGATGATGCTCAGCAAATCAGTAGACAGGTGCGGCACGGATTTTGTTTAAAGAAAAAAAATTTCACGAAGAAATATTGCAGAAATGGTTGAATGCGCTGCAAGAGCACGCTGCCTTCAGTAGCCACTACCTCAGCCAAGGCCAAGCCAGCATAGATGAGGAGGACGAGGAGCCGAACACCGTCAAGCCTCTTGGGTCAATGCAGGCGAGTGTCCCAAAAAAATGTTTCAAAAAGCTTATTGGTATGTTTATATATACATGCCAGTCATGGTACAAAGGCAGATGTTCTTGGTTTCTATCCAGGCTCAGGCCAGGGTTTGAAAAAGCTCTGTCTCTGGCTGGTAATTTCACAAGACTCCAGGAAATCATTCCAATCATATTATTATTACTATTGTTGATATTTATTGACTTATGAGGCAAAACTCATAAAAATAAAATAGATTTAAAAAATAAAATCGTCCTCCTTCCACAGGACGCTCTTCAGACTGCAGCAGCGCATCACCAAGTGCTTGCCCAGAAATTAGCAGACAGCGCTGCCATTTTGGACTCTGCTCAGAGTAGCTCTTCCTTCCAAGACATGACCTTAGAAATCCACAAAGTATTTTTTGTTTTCAATTTAAATCGCACTTTCTGAAAATAAAGCCATTTCAGAACTTCCAAATGGTTTCGGACTCGGCAGCAAGCATGCTCGGAGCCCTCAGCCACTGCCTTACTTTGTTCCAGCAGCAGGAAGAGGTGAATTTTGCGTTTCCATTTTGCAAATGCGCAGAGCTACTTTTTTTTGCCACATAGAAAACCAAATTTACTAGTCAGCTTGGCAAGCTTTTAATTGAAATGACGCAAATTTAGGTTCGTGTGTTGCAACTGCGACAGGAGCAGGAGCGCGTGAGGGTTTTGGAGGAGGCTTTGCACGTTTTGGCCAGGGAGCACCACGAGCTGGAGCAGTCGGTGGCCATGTCTCAAGCAGGCTCTCCGCCCAACAGCAAACGCAGCTCCCGCCTTTTTGACCCGTCAGACGATGAGTTCTACGATGCCTTTGAAGCAGGTAAGAAAAAATTGCAATTGACCTGGAATTGATTGTAAACTTTTTTATTTGTGTTTGTATTATTCGACCCCTTTGTTGGTTTATTTATGAATCTTTTGTTCAAACTTTCTCAAACTTCCAATCAATATTGCAAGTCACTTGCATAAAAATAAATTTTGTGAAACGGTTTGAAAATTTTGAAATTTTTTTTTGTCTTTGCTCTGTAGACTCGGACAGTGACACCTTAGTCACGGCAGCCAGCCCTGATTCCGACACCCTTCGCAGTTTCAACATTGGCGGCCTCAGAGAATCAGCCTCGAGTTGCACCCTGGTCTCAGGAGCGATGAGCCCAGTTTCCAACATGTCCTTTCACAGCGCCCTTGACAGACCACACAGCCGACGAACGCTTGCCCCAACTGGCCACAGGTCAGACTCTGCATGCGACCTTGATGACGAAGTTTGCTTGCTCAACTGACAAATACTTTTATTTGCTTGGAAATGTAGAGCTAAATTTGTTTTGGTCACTTTTTGAATTGCCCAGATAAACCAGTGAATCTCTTGTGACAGTATTTTCAAATGCACCTTTTGTGTACTTCATTTTTTCGTATATTTTTGCTTTACAGCAGCATGAAATTTTAGAAATAAATTATATTTTAAACAATTTTATAATTTTATTTTATAATTTCTACTTACAATTTAGCTTTGAAGGTTGTGGTATTATAGTGTTCTGAAGGAAACTCATGGATACTGGAGTAAAATAAAAATTAATCTTTTCATTAATTGCGGCACAATAACATTGAAAATTGCAATAAATAATACATGAATTTTTAAGCACATTTCTATTTCCTTCTAAAAGATTTTTTTAATTGTGAACAATAAAATGGATTAAAAGAAATTTAAAATTCATGAATTAAATAAAAAAAATTTTCTGAATCCTGACAGTGACAGCAACAAAATAATTATGAAATGTTAAAATTTCCCATATATCTTCATATCCGTATTTCCAATAATGTAAAAAAAAATTTCTCTCATCATTTCATCTGATTTCATCTACTATATAATCAGCATTGCTAAAATATTCCCAAGTCTTAGGATTGTACTTTCATAAAAAAAGGAAATTATCAAAATTCCTCAGCTGGCTTTATAATTTATTGAGGCATGAGTTTGCAAGAAAAATCTTATTTTCAGAAGATATCAGTATGACCGGGCATTTTGTTTGCACTTATATTATTGATGAAATATTAAAAATTTAAAATATAGCTTTAAAATTCTCTTTCACAGTACAGAAATGATTTTAGATTTTATTAAATTTTTAAATATATTTTTTATTCTAATATCTTTAGGGGGAAACTTTTAAAAGGAAATAAATACAAAATGCTCATTATATTGTAATTTAAATGATTAAAACAAAATTTTCAATGATTGTGTAATAATGTGATGATAAAATCACATCACATAAGCAGTTGACACCACTGGTTCGCGGTTTCCGTCTAACTCTCAAAAGTCCATGTGGTCAACTTTTTTTGCGAGCGGTGGAAAATTCAATAATAGCAAGCAACCCTTTCCTGCTCTGCATACGCTGTAAATATCAAAAAGCCGCACACAGCTTTACGAGTGGGAATCACGCACGCTTGAAAATCAGTTCGCTCTTGCAGAAATGCTTTCATGCGCTCTGCGAAAGTAGGGCTTCTCTCCACGGGCCACTCTGCCTAAGCTAGATAATATTTTTACATAATGCGCCAGAGTATTCATATAAATCATATTTTTTCCTATTCCTTTCTGTCCAGCAAAAATCTTTAAATCATATCTAAAAAGTTTTTTTTCTTCAAATTTTCTCAATTAAAATTTAACTTGGAAATGACGAGGGTTTTTGCTTTGGTTAATGACAAGCAGGCGAGGTCGGAGTTGCGGCGGGGTGTCATCTTTCTCGGTGCGCCTTTGTCTGATAAAAGGCCAACAATCGATTTTCGGCGGCCGCGTCGCGCGCGCGCACTCGCGATTTTGCCCCGTTCGGGTTCGCGGTCGCTTCCTTTCATAATCGGTGCGGAGCGAACGTGCGAGTCTTTGGTCAGTTCCACCCCAAACGAGGTCGCAGCACGCAGCTCTGGCAGTGTCCCTCGTGATGTGAAGAGAGATCAAATGAGAGCAGGCAAGTGGTGTCTTCCGACTTCTTAGAATGCCTCTTGAGTCGCATCCCCCGCCACATCAACCGCGCCCGCTCCACCAACAATCTGCAACTGCCAACAATCGCGCCGACAAACCATTCGATGGGATGAAATCGTATTTAAACTTATTCATCTCATCACGCAGAGTCTAGAAAATTCTTGATATTAATAATATCAAATAATTTAAAATTACTCGTGTAGTTTTAAAAGGTTGATTAATAATCTATATGGGTCAGTTTTAGTTTAAATTTTAAAATTTTATAAAAAGATTTGAAGCAAATTATCGAGTTTTTGGACGCTTTAAACGCTAATAAATCACATCAAAATTATCAGAGGGTCTCGAGGGCCAGGCCAATATGAAGCAAGCTCAGCTCTTTTTGTGCTGATGAGTTTTACATGTAAAGAGCGGGCGAGGTGCGCTTTGGACATACAGTATGATGCTGAAAGGATTAAAGTTTAACAAGACGGGTTTTGGCGTGTGGTTAGTGGAAAACACACACTGGTGTATCACTCAATGCAGGCAGGCTTGTTTTCGTTCCAACTACACGAAGCGCAGAAAAATAAAAAAGTAAAAGCAGCAGCCTTAAAAATGTCACCAGTTGTTCCAACACCGTGACTGCGATCATATTTTATATGATTAAAAAACAAAACAAATGTTGCAGAGATAATCTCCCCCTTTGTTTAAATTGTAATCAACGGAGGGCAGAAGTCAACTGCGAGGGGTGTGAATATTATATTTTTAGTTTTTAATAATTATAGTCGGGGCAGGCTTGCTTGTGATTCGGTTGACTGATCAATATAGGCTCTTTGGTGCAGCGCACGTGGCAAGGTTGCATATACCCTAGCCCGGAGATCAATGCTGGGTAATGGAGGGTGCGGGTGCCAATTAGGGGTCGGTGCATACCAAAGCGCACAGCGAGAGAGAGCAACTGGTGAAAGGCCAGCGCGCGATATCGATTGCGCCAAGTGGGTTGGGTGCCCAGAGACCTTTTTTCGAATTGATATAAAAGTCTACCTGCCATTCGCACCTGCCGAAAGTAGATGGGAATGGTAAAAAAAGAGACGGCGGACGTGCTCCAACTTTATTGCAAAAAAAGTGACGTGAGACGGCAGACGCGAAAGATAGCTTTAGACTTTTTGTATTTACGGGGAAAATGATTAAGGAAGAGGCTTTAGCAAAAAACGGCCCAATCAATTTTGATGGCAATTATTCTCTACGTAGATTTTAGTTCCAAGAAGACATAGAAGAAAAATTGGAATTATTGCGAGATCCGAATTTTTGAAATTTAACATTGTTTCTAATGGCAATTTTCTAAAATGATTTTTTTTTCTTTCTTAAAATTGGCCAGATCAAAATTGATAAAAATTTCACTAATCACGTTCATATCACCTAGATTAAGATAGAAAATTAAAATCTATAGGTCAGTCGCTATCAAAAATTTATTTTGATCTTTGGGAAAAGGTTAAGAAAGTTTTATTTGCAGTGTACATGTCATAATAAGCTCCTCTTTAAATCTATAAAAAAAAATTTTTTTAACAAAAGCTCTTTGAATTTAAATTCAGCGTTAAGTTAAAATGAAAAATTATCAGGTACCATTATTTCATTATCGGTCCAAATATGTAAATAAAAAATAATTGTAAAACTCCAAGCGATTGTTGGCGTTTTGTTTTTCGGATTGTTATTGACTGGTGGGTGCGTGGCGTGACGTCTGGTTGTGTTTTAGCAATGGCCGGCCGAGACCCTGAGTACCAGCCGACGCAGAAGCACCTCAGGTTAGTAAGCCTTCTCCTGCACAAGGTTTATAATTCGAGCAACTGTTCGCGGATCGATGGCGCTCTGATTAGTGCGCTTGAGGACGAGAGAAAAGAGCCGCTTCGATTAATTATTCACGAACAGCGATCGGTGCTTTCTTTGTTTTCCTTTTGTAAAGACGGTGAAGTGAGCTGCTGCTGCTGCTCCAAGGAAACAAAACGGCCTAGTTAAACTTTTATTTACGTTGCGGATCGCGTGGCCCCTGAAGGACTTTCGACAATTTTCCACTCGCACCAAAAAGATTTTTCCTTTGTCATGTACCAGAATTTTGTATTATCATTTTCTTTGGAAAACTCGTTCTTTGTGGTTTTTATTATTTCCGGCATGCGTAATTTGTAAAAGTCTCGTTTCAAATTAATCCAACTGATCCGAGCACTGCACCGACTGGAAACAACAAAAACACATTTCAAACGATGAAAGAAAAACTTTACCAGGAAATCGCGTGCCAAGTACTTCCTCGGCTTCCTTTCTTGCTACTATAAATCACAAATTGCACAGATTTCACGGAACTCAACTGAAGGAAAAATAATGTCTTCGTAACTTGTAACCATTAAAAATATAAAATCTGGCTAATATTTTTTTTACTTCTAAATAATTTGCATTTTATAATTATTTGATCTTTAATTTCTAATCCCCGAAATTTAACCATCTCAAGCCAGGCTTCTCGCTAACTATGTGGTATGTTGCATTTCCTTTTTCTCTGCATTTAAATCGTGCTTGCTAAATTCATTTACAAATCAAAATCAGTCCTCCTCATACATTATTATATAAATATAATATATAATTCTCGCTTAAATCAAAACGCTTTGATTATATATCTGGTAAAAATCATTTTCATTGACACACGCACACAAAACTAATCACACTTCTTTCCCATCAGAAGATTCCATGCTTTTGAACTAATTTGTGCCTTATTTTTAATGTTTTGCGAGCAGGCAGACTCTGCCGGTGCCCATGTTCAGTCAGAATGACTTCAACCTGTGGTCCGTTTTGAAAAACTGCATCGGCAAGGAGCTCAGCAAAATCACAATGCCAGTCATTTTTAACGAGCCCCTTTCGTTCCTGCAACGCATGGTCGAGTACATGGAGTACTCGCGCCTGCTGAGGACGGCCGCGGAACAAGAGGACCCCGTCGACCGCATGAAGGTACTTGTTTTTTATTTTTTAATTCACTGTCACTTCGAAACTGATTCGTGTGAAATTCAAGTATGTGGCGGCCTTCGCTGTGAGTGCTTTGTCTTCCAACTGGGATCGCCTCGGCAAACCCTTCAACCCTCTGCTCGGCGAGACTTACGAGCTCGAGAGGGATGATTTCAGGTGCGTCTTTTGCAAAAACTTGTGGATAATTATATGCAAAAATTAAAACTTGATATGTTGCGCAGGGTGATTTGCGAGCAGGTCAGCCACCATCCTCCAGTGTCCGCTTTCCACGCAGACAGCCAAGACTTTATTTTCCACGGCTCCATCTATCCGAAACTCAAATTTTGGGGCAAGGACGTGGCCATTCAGCCTAAGGGAACCGTCACTGTCGAACTGCCAAGGTAAAGATGCAGGCTACCCGCTCAATTGTAAAGCGCAGCGGGTTGCATAATCTACGCCTGACCAAATCGATTTTTTTTATAGAATAGAATGTTTGCTTTTTTTACATTAAATTTTCAACGCATTGACAACTTTTGAAATAATGTCATTTAACTTCTTCTAACCATTATATTATTATTATTATTATTATCGTTGTTGTTTATTCTTCACAATTTAAATATTATTTGAAATGAAATTAAAATTTTTAAGTCAAGTTCTTTTTGGTTTTTACAAAACTTCTTTTTAGAAAAAATAAAAATACTGAATAAATTTTAAAATTTTTTAACAAAAGCATTCCAAAGCATTTCTCTAGATCAGTTTTGGAATTGCTCGTTAAATTTTACTTAGATCTTTTGTGTGCGTAATTTTTGCATGTTGTGTTAAAATTAAAATTAAAATTGTCAGATGGGGCGAGGCGTACACGTGGAGCAACGTAAACTGCTACGTGCACAACATCATTGTGGGCAAACTGTGGATGGAACAGTCGGGCACGATGGAAATCGTGAACCACCGCACCGGCCACCGCGCCTGCCTCACCTTCAAACCCGCAGGCTGGTTCTCCAAAGAACTGCACCGTGTCGAGGGCTTCATTACTGACAATAAGTATACACAAGCACTGCCTTTTCGCACCGCAAAATTTAATTGGCTTCACGTTCACAGAAAAAACAAACTATTCTTCTTGTACGGCAAATGGACGGATTTCATTCGGTGCACCGACTTTGACTCATACGAGTCCTACTTTAAGGAAAACGCGCACAAGTTCAGGTATGTAAATTTTAATGAACTTTAAAAAAAATCACAATTCAAACTTCTTAGGTTGATATTCTAAAAGCCTAGTTAGCGAAAAGTTCTTTTTTTAAACAATTATCTTTAACAAAAATTTTCTGAAATTCTAAAACTTCACACAAACCATTAAACTAATTCAAAAATTGCTCCTCTTGAAAACTCTAGTCAATTTTTGTCTATAATTAATTATTTTTATAACAGCTTTTGATCTTTATTGTAAAACTTTGTAGCGATTTCAATCTCTTCCATTTTGATCTTTTAGAAAGGACAGCGACAAGAAAAGTGGCTCGACGAGCAGTCCGTCGCACTCGCGCGTTCTAAAAAAGCTCAACAGCCTGAAAAGTCCGTTCAGGAGCAGTCGCGACGAGGGTTTGAGCGGCGGCCCCTCCCTCAACCCCGATGACCAGCCGCCCCCGGAAGTTCCCGAGGGCGAAATCCCAAAGTCGGACTCGACCTACTCCATCGACATTCCTAATTCGAGCGTCCTGTGGGAGGCACGGCCGCGACCGCCTAACACCAGTGATGTGAGTCTATTTTAACACCAAACACGAATACAAAATTATTTGATTTTTATAATAAATTTTTACCCAATTTAATCGAAAGGGGGAAGCAAACGTAGAGTGCGACGCAGAGGATCCATCCTGCTTTATCTTGTTTATAAACAGGTTGATTTTTGTTTGTTGCAGTATTTCCAGTTCACGCTATACGCGATGTCACTCAACGAAATGGAGCCAGCAATGCGAGAGAGATTATGTCCTACGGATTGCAGGTAAATTTCAATCATAAATGGTTTTTTTTTCTTATATAGTATGACGAATTTCCAATTCAGACTGAGACCTGATATTCGTCTCTTGGAAGAGGGAGACATCGACGGTGCGGCCACTGAGAAGACGCGGCTGGAGGAAAAACAGAGGGACGCGCGGAAGTTGCACAAAGCTGCAAAAGGAGAGGAACCTGCAGCCAGGTAATCAAAATTATCACATTTTACAACAAACAATCTTTTAATCCATAAGGAAGGAGTAGAAGGAACATGTTGATATAAATATAATTTTTACAAAGTAATTTGCGGAATTAAAGAGATCGGGCTATTACTCGTTTAGAAAATTGTTTTTATACAAAAACAAAAGCGCTCTACCAGTTTCGGTCACGGTCTGCGGCCCTATTTCACGAACAAGAAAAATATAATAAAATCAGCAAAATTGAATAAAAATTTATTTTTTTATAAATTTTTTCGATTTTTTTTGCTCATGCAATAGGGTCGCAGATCGTGACTGAAACTGATAATAGCAGTTCCGTTTTCCAGTAAAAACAATATTTTATAATGAGGAAAAAACCGATCTCTTCGTGTCCATGATCCATGATCATCTACTCTAGTCTCTAGTGTCAATTTCTTTAAACAAATCATTTGTGGAAGATTTTTTGTTTAGTTTATTTGAAATTTATTTAAATTTCATTTTTTTTTATCTATTATTTATTATTATAATTATATTTTTATTATACCATTAGTTTATTTAATTTTTTCATCGGTTTGGTCCAAATAGCTAACTCTTCATTTTTATTTAACAAAAATTAATTTAAAAAAAAAACCATCGACCCTGTGTATTGCAGGTGGTTTTGCCAAGGAACGAATCCGTACACGCGACAGGAAGATTGGTTGTACAGTGGTGGCTATTGGGACCGCAACTTTGAAGGTGTCCTGGACATTTTTTAATCTCCGCCAAATAAATCCGCACATATCCGACGTCGCTTGAGAATTTTGCGCGATCCAAACACAACGGAAACTCCTCGTTTATGGGCTGCTTAGCGACAATATCTGTGTGGCTTATTTTCTTAATGCTCTTCTGGCAACGAGAGAAAAATGCAATAATCTCAACTACGACGTGAACTGCCGGAGGAATTTTTATTTCAACATGTTTCAATTGATCTGCATTTCTCCTAAATAATTTATGCATTTATGTTTACGGAATCCTTGCATGTTTCTCCTAATTTTTAACAAATCGGTGTCAGTTATATCAGTAGAGTTGTTGCAAGAATCTTAGCTCACCAAGTCGACAGTTCTCCTTAATGCAGCTTTTATTATATATTTTGTGACGCGAATCCAAAAATTACGATTATTATAAAACACACGAATTTACTTACCTCTTTTGAAAGATGAAAATTTTGGAAACGATCACACTTAGAATTAGTTTTGAAACTCCCTAATCTCTATTTTATAATTCGAATTTCAACGCATTGAACTTTAAAATTAAATTAACACGGGAAATTCCTTTTTCAAGAAACTGTCGATCGTCCAAGCAATGTTGTAGACCAAAACTCGTCAATATATATGTAAAAAAAAAACATTGCCGAGACCTTCTTGTGGGAACTAGCCAAAAATTACTCAATGTATAGAGAGCTGTAAAATTGCATGTAAGATAAAACAAACCAAAGACGCTATATTATAAAATGTACAATAAACAAAGCAACGCAAAACTTTCGTCATTTTCTTTTTCATCCTCGTGATTAATTGGAGTGGAGATTAAATCTATATTTGATCATTTCCCAAAGTATGAGCCCCTCTGCTGGATTATTTTTAGATTAAAAGGACTGAGCATCACTGTGCGCGCTGCTGTTTATTAAGCAGATTCCTCGAGTAGGACTTTTAACAGAGAAAAATTACTCCTTATATTTATCTTCGTAATCTAATATTTTTTTTTTTTAAATATATTGAATTATGCTTGAGGTTGAGTTGCGACGGTTGAGGTAACGTAAAAGTTGATCAATCTCTTATCTCTGCAAATAATTCACTATATATTATTATGTTTTTATTGTGAAACCACAGTGATGATGATTTTGCGTTGTTGAGAGAAGCGATTAAGGCTGAAACATGAAGGAGAACCAGCATCCCCAAACTGAAGAAATTATGCGCCCAGGAAATCTTCCGAAATTGGTCAAAGTATTTAACGAATCCCGTTCTGAGAAAAAAATTCGACACTATACGTATTATGAAATTATTCATTTCACAATGGAAGATTTTATCTGAAAATTTTATACAGCCGACTATGTCGTGCAAAATATCCTGGCTGAGCTCAAAGCGCGCGTTTTCGTATTAATCGAATAATTGTGCTTTTCATTAATTCAATGCACAATTTTCAACACAATTAAATGAAAATATATAATTAATCGGTTTGTGGTTGAGGTACAGACCAAAAATTGGTAACCAAAATTATCCTCTTGACGAGACCTTTTTAAGTACGTATCACACATCTAGGTCAGGTGACCTCAGGTCACCGACCTGGGTGACCTTTGACCTGAAGGTCACCAAAGACCATCAATATATATACCATTCGATTTGTCTTGACGTGAGCATTAACTTTGGTCATTATTACTTTTTACCTAAAATGATCAGGGACGACGTTAAAGGCGATCATAATGTTGACCCTGCCTGCGGAGGCCCTAAAAACCACGTTTTTTAGTATTCTTTTTTATTTTTAAATTTAACAAAGAAAAACATCACTCCAGTTTTAACATATTTTTTGTAAAATTTTATGAGGAATCGAATGGCTATCTCAAAATTTTTTTAAAACGTGCGGCCCATTTTCAAATTTGAGTTTGAAAATTTGAGGTCATAAAAAATGACCTTGAACTTTGACCTAAGACGTTTTACTTAACAGCAAAGTTGTAGAAATCGTCAAGACATATTCAACCATACCCGGATTTTTGTTCTACGACCAATAGAACGCGAGAAAATTAGGTTTTTTATTTTTTTCGAAATGTCCCATAAAACCCGCAATTTTGGAAATTGTTTCAAAAAAATTTAGGGGTGTTGCTTCTAAGTCATGGTTGTTATGCTGTGAAAATCTCAATCGGCTAACTTCAAATTTAGGCATGGGGTGTGAAAACAGAAAGAATCGTACCTCATTTTCAAATTTGTTTAAAAATTTTGGGGCCCACAAGTGTGATCGGAAATTTTGCACTCAACAGTAAACCTTGAAGTCATTGAAAAGCTCAAAAAAGAAATTTATTCGATTCACGTAAAATTTTTTATGCTTAAAAAAAATTAAACCAATTTTGCGGCACAAAAAGAAATACGTTGAGTGTCACTTAGAATTTTATTTACTTCAATTAAAATTTTCTAAATTTATTTATTTATTTATTCATTTTTCGTAATGATTTTTTACCGCGTCATGTGTTTTATTCTGTGGCGCCACTCTAGTACAGCTTTTGAAACAGCTTTGTTGCATATTATTAATCGAGGCCAAATTTGCCAAAAAGAAACATGCTGAAGAGCGAGAAAAATTCGAAAAATTCAGTAATATGCGACCAAAACGTGGTCCATCTCCCATCTCTAAATGAAGAGACAATAAGAGAGAAAATATGATGAAATGACTGTATGGATTTCTTAATAAATCGATGAATGCCTGTGAAAGTGTGAAAAAAGGAAAACCAAAACAAACACAAAATTGACAATTGACAAAATAATCCAAGGTGAAGGTGTGGAGTGTAGAGCGGTGTGGAGGATATGAATTTCCGCCATTTTTATGTCTCTCCCGAAAGCATCGCATCTCCTCCAAAACTTATTTGCCTTGGTGCACGCGCACGTGTTTCTGAGTGGCGCTGCAGGCACTGGGTCAAAATAGAGAAAGAGTAAAAATGGGAGACGCGAACGACAACCGCCCCCTTTTTCGGCACAACACTTTCACCAATCAGCGGTGGCGTTAGTCATTTGTCTTGTCGTCGCTGATTGGTATAAGTGTTATGCCGAAAAAGGGGGCGGTGGTCGTTCGCGTCTCCCATTTTTACTCTCTCTAGGTCAAAATTGCCAACATGTGTTCGCCTTCTGTCAAAATCCTGACCTATCTTCTGTTAGTATAAGGTGCGTATTCCTTAATTTTGATGGTTTTTGACTCTCTAAACACAATTAATTTTTCATCCCACCTGGTCAGACTACAGGCAAGATTATCGAGCTGTGAGGATTTGATTCAATTGTGCAAATACCGGCTGTTATAAATCGTTTGGCGGAAGGCTAATTTCAGTGTGTATTATTTTTTAAGGCTAATAATTTCTCCTTCAAATTTTTTTTCTTATGATTAATTTTTTTTTTAATGACTTGCTTTACGTTAGGTTTGTAATTTTTCAGTGCGCCTTTCAGTAAAAGTGTAAATTGTTGATATTATTATCATATTTATCAAAGACATGGAGAGCAACAACCCTCTCGCATCACATGCGTGCGTAAATCTGTTTTGAACTAGCTGCAGCGCCCAAAACTTCACCTGATTTTAATTTGAATAACTGACACCGGTTTATTCCTCCTGGTGATGAACATTATATTATAATGAGAAAAAAGAACATAAAATACAATATAAATAATGAAATGAAATTAAAAGTTAAAATAATATGTAATTTATTTTTGTCATTAATTATATATAATTTTGTACATAGTTTCGTCTTGCTTGTTTCCTTAGATCAACAAACAGACGTACACGTTGAAGGAAAAGCTGACTAGTGAACCTCTGCCTGGAATAATGCCAGATAAATACAGTCATGTTAAAGCCAAAGTTGTAAGTCCTAGAAATTAATCACAGCGCACCAATATTTATAACCTAATTTCTCTTTACAAATGTTCAGGACTCAGGGCTAACCAAGAATAATAAGGAGGTGGCACCTGCCGAGCCCACGGACACCCCGCCCGATTCATGCCTAGTAAAATTAAAAATTTTCTAAAAAATATTAAAAATATTGTTATTTGCTATTTTAGGCACTGACGCCCCAGGAGGTCACGCCAGCTGCCGAGGCACTGACGGCCCAGGAGGTGGCGTCAGCTGCCGAGGCACCGACGGCCGAGGAGGTGGCGCAGCCCTGCGGAATATCGGACGTCTTGGTCGAGGATAAGTTTTTGATGTAAGAATATATTGTTGGAAATAGGTCTTTTTGTAAAATATGACATGAGAAAAACATATTTGAAAAGTTTCTTAGCTATTTTTCAAAGTTGCACTTGCCTCCAAAAGTCGTCCTAGAGACGGCATAATTTCGTCTTTTAGAGGACCAGTCGATGATCTCGGGAGGTCTCATGTCATGAGTTTAGGTCGTCCCGAAGACGACCTATTCTCGTCTTTCAATGGACCAATCGATGGATTTGGGGACGAATGAGACGAGTTTAGAACAAGTCGTACATGCATTTTCTGTGTCCTCATTGTTTTAAAATTTGCACAATTGAAGGAAAAAAAATACTTTTTATTCAATTCATATGTTCAATTTTCAATTAAAAATTTATAATTGAATTAAATATTTAAAAAAAATTATCTTCTGACTAGAAAAAGTTTTTTTTTATTAATTATATATTATATCCTATGGCTGTATAAAGAAATAAAAATTATGAATTTTTCATTTAAAATACATTGATATATAACAAAGCTATTGAAAAAATGGCTTTTAATGCATGAACAACTGATTTTACTGATGGCAAATAATGGAGGGGATGCTTGATATAATGTTTGTTTAAATTCAATGAAAAATTATTATAAATTAATTTTTGGTGAATTTTAATATTTGAATTTAATCTTTGATAATAAAATAGTACAGTACAAAATTTTATATTATATGTTTTATATTAAAAATTTATTGATTTGATAGTTACTCACGCAATCATTTTTTAACAGTAAAATATATTCCCACTTGAGAATCATTAGATCGGGGCGAAGCTAAACCTGTGGGATAAAAATATTTATTGTTTGCCGGTATATTTCGATAAATATCCAGCTTTTTACTATTTATATCTCTCAATTTTTTGTAAGTGGCGTAAGTGCATCCTTTATTAAAAATTAAAACTTCTCAATCTATATTTTCACAATCAGATTGTTGCAAAATGAATTAATTTTGCCATGATAGTTAATAAAGGAATATAATTTTATGATCCTTATTTTAGCTCAATTTGAAATTTTCTACAATTGGGTTCAAAAGAAAATACAGGTAGTGGACTGCACATTAAAATAATTTATATAGACAAAATTATAAATGAACAAAATTTATGCTGATTTATGCTGAGCAAAAAAAAAATATATATATATATTTTTGCACGCTCACGATTCCAATTTTGATTTTCAACTTTTTTTGATTATTTGCAACAATGAAAACAAAAACTTCTGCAAATTTCCTGCAACGTCAAGCTGAGAAAACTAATTTATCTCAATCCGCTTAAAAATTGCAATACTTTTGAATATTAACTTAATTACGCTCTTGATCATTATTTTTTCGTTTTATTTTTCATTGAACAACAAACACTAAGTTAGAAATTTATAATTATACGCAAACATATTATGTATAAAAAAATAAATACTTTAACAACGGATGGGTGCGCTCAATATTCTGTGCTCACGCTAATGGTTATAAAAATCTTGCTCTCGCACTCTGCTCTAAAATGACCAATATTTTGAAATTTTCTGCACTTAAAAAAAATATAGTGTACGCAATTAGTTTATCATCTTGATAAAAGTTAATTTAGATTTATGAAAAAAAATTGCAATTCCTAATTTTAACACTTTAAATTTGTTTACCATTAAATAATGTTATTTTAAAATTTAATATTGAATTAAAATACATTAATCGTCAAATTTTCTAAAAATTAAAGAATCTTGTTTTTTTTTATTATTACATATTACTTATTCTTCTCAGTCGATACAAAAAATTTGAGATTTGAAAAAGAGAAGAAAGGGTTTACAACAGTTTACAACTAGCAGATACCTGCTTATACGCCCGAATTTAAAATGTGGTTCGGCCGCGGCGGCAAACCCATTAAAATTAATTAAAAGATAAAAAATATATTTTAAATTCTGCTTGGTACCTCTAAACGCCATCTTATTTGCTTCGCAAGGCTCGCAATTTTGATATCTCGCTGAGTGCAGATGCAAATTTAAGATGAGACTTAAATTTAATTTTAATCAATTAACTTAAAAAAGTTAATTAAAAAAATTATTCTCAAATTGTTTTTTTTTTTAATTTTTTATAGTTACGCATTCAACAAATATTTAAAAATAATTCTTATCAATCAAAAATCTTGAAATGAACTTTCAAATTATTAAAAAAAAATTTAACTTGCTGCGAGTACTACAATTATGAGAGCGCACTGAGAAAGTGCACTCACCAGAATATTAATTAAAAACCCTCCATGCGCTCCGCTTAAATATACTGAGCGAAAAGTGTCCTCTTCCCATACTTGCTTTTAACCCAGCTTGGCATGTAATTTTAAAAGAAATTAGACATCAAATAGTGCTTGTGCCGACTGATCCAGAGACTGGTCCTGACTTGTCCGAAATTGACTTCCGTCAATTTTTCTAAGAAAAAATTTTTTTCTAAGAAAAAATGAGCACATTATACATGATAAATAAATAAACTGCATTATGCATAAATTTGTAAAGCTCATTCAAGAAAAATTAATTTGTATTGGGAATATTTTCAATGATCTATACGATCTATACAGACCACTCCGAAGTGGAGATAACGGTTTTTTTTTCAATTTTTTATTTTATTTGCTCAATGTCGTAACTGATTTTTTTATTTTGTTTTGCGTCTTGCAAAAAATCCATAATATATTATAGTGAAATACATCAGAAACTAATCATCAATAAATTTAACTTAAGAGAAAGGTGCGTGACTTTGAAGTCTAGTTAATTTATTTATTAAATAAATCATTAATTCATTATTATAGAATAGAGAAAGTCTAGTTTGATCTACGCGAGGTTGCATAATGACATCCATGCGTTGGAAAAAAAGTTATTGAAATATATTGACATTAATCATAAAATTTAGAATCATTACCAATAGTATATTGGTTACAGTCGTTGACTCACACCCGGTATATCTTTGGTTCGAATCTACACACCGGTGGACTTTTTATGGGTTTATGCTAATTAATATGGGATGTAATGATTGCGAATCATGTGCATAATTAGCTAAATTGCCAATTTAAAATTTAATTTTGCGAAATTTTGAGCTCCCTAACTTGATTTTTAAAAATAATTAAACTCGTCCGAGCTCGTCCGTTTCTCGTCGTGTCATACTTGCAAAACTTGTCCGAAACTCGTCCAACTGGACTCGTCCAGAAACCGAGAAACGAAAGACGTCCTGTGGATCGTCCTGAGGCCGTCTAACATGGACGTCCTCGGACCAGTTTGGTACGACTAAAAGACGACTTGAAGACGACTTTTTTTCGCAGGGAAGCTGCCCAACCAGCCGAGGAACCGGCGGCCCATGATGTGGCGGAAGCTGCCGAGGAGCCGGCGACCCAGCAGGCGGAGGAAGCTGCCGAGGAGCCGGCGACCCAGCAGGCGGAGGAAGCTGCCGAAGAGCCGGCGGCCCAGCAGGCGGAGGAAGCTGCCGAGGAGCCGGCGACCCAGCAGGCGGAGGAAGCTGCCGAAGAGCCGGCGGCCCAGCAGGCGGAGGAAGCTGCCGAGGAGCCGGCGACCCAGCAGGCGGAGGAAGCTGCCGAGGAGCCGGCGACCCAGCAGGCGGAGGAAGCTGCCGAGGAGCCGGCGACCCAGCAGGCGGAGGAAGCTGCCGAGGAGCCGGCGACCCAGCAGGCGGAGGAAGCTGCCGAAGAGCCGGCGGCCCAGCAGGCGGAGGAAGCTGCCGAGGAGCCGGCGACCCAGCAGGCGGAGGAAGCTGCCGAGGAGCCGGCGGCCCAGCAGGCGGAGGAAGCTGCCGAGGAGCCGGCGACCCAGGAGGTGGCGGCGCCACAACTGCCAGTTTACCGCCGTGACGACGTAAAAATACCAATTGTAATTTTCTAAAAAAAAATATTTATATACTCTTGCATTTCAGCATGTCGTTTGTCCGTTTTGCAATGATCGCCTCTCAAACCCATTCAACCTCAATCGCCACTGCAGAAATGTTCATTCCGAGCACCCACCTCCAGAAACGTGTGGCTTGTCTCACCTTTGTCATCTCGCATTTGAGAACACGTAAGTAAAATTTGATTATTTAGATCAGAGATCAGATATTGCGGTTTTATACCTTAGGACAGAGAGGTTCAAGCATATTTCTTCAGTTGATCATTCCAACTTCATAGGCTTTAGTGCTAATAAAAAATCACAATGCACCAACTGCCCAAGAAGGATAGCTCAGGAAAATTACGCTGCGCATATCATCTCGTGCCACCCTCTGTAACCCTCTGTGCCTTTTTTCTATTTGTTGGAATTTAGTGTAAATAAAATTTCTGTTAACTTTCATGCACTTCATAGAATTTTTAACAAATTTTACGATCGTAATTTTCCTCCTAATATTGTTAGTCAGCCTGCTGTTATATTTTCATTATTATCAGTGATATTTTCCAAAATTAAATTTATTATGCATCTATAGTTATAAAATATAGATAATAGGTTATAATGAAATATACAGTGAATGAAAAATATTTTTTTCGTAATAAAATCTCAGACTTGAAATTTTTCTCTTTAGAAATAAATTGAAGGTCTCAGCCGCGGTATTTTGCGCGGTGGCTATGGCTGAGCCGCGTTTTGCCCTCGGCGGTGGAAGTTGGTCATTTTGAGAGGCGGCTGACGGCTGAGAAGTCGAAATTTAAATTATTTTTTTCCGGTTGCCAAATCCTTGACCCTAGACAATGCAGATTTAATTCCTTTTTTTTGGGTTATGAATTGCAGCAGCGTTATGCAGCTTCGCGGCTGACTACGGCTCTGGCGGCTTCCCAAGCTGAGTGTGATCATGAGGCCAAGCAGTATTAAAAATTATAATTTATAAAATGTTAAGTTTCCAGTATCACTGGCCGAGGCGATGCCGCGATTCATCCAACCAATCAGATTCAAGTCACGTGGTAATGTGACGTCACATTGAACGGCCCAGCTGGGTTGTCTATAAATTAAAAATTTCGGTTTGTTGATTAAGGATTTAGGTAAATCAATTACGCACACAGACGTCACAGACTCGTCCCGAATTTCACTAGCAAACAGGAAGCGCAGGAGCAAAAGCTGCATTATTTTTTACAAGTATGTACTGAATCGTCTCAATACTATACATGTATACATATTATTAAATTTAGGTATCATTCCACATTTAGTCGTCCCAGAGGCCATGACTTAATTCCTAGAGAAAATAGGTGTGATTTGGATAATACCCCGACCATCCTGAGGCCTGAGGCGTCCTGTTTCTTAATTTTAGGGTAAAAATTATGTGTTGAATATTATGTTCTTCAATTAAAAGTCAGCATTTCAAAAAAATATACCAAAATAAATTTTACAAATTTTAGGAATTTCGCTTTTTGCACTCTCCCCGGACCGGAGATCCCGGATGGATAATTAATCATAATAATGGATAAGATCTACGAGCTTTCTGAAAGCTCTCTTGAAAAAGGGGTGCCGGATCTTCTGGAAACTGTATTGTCCTTTTTACCTGAACATTTGGAAGAGAACCTCTTTTTGGCACTTGTCTTTGTACTGTCCGTTGAAACCTTTGGCCGACAGACACCTTCAGTGCAGAAAAACGCTGAAGACTGGTTTTTGTTAGAATTGATGACACCAAAGACATTCCATCGATGGACGTTTGCAAATAATGTGAACGTGACCATTGAATTTGTGCAGACGCCAAATGGACTGAATGCTCTTGTTTCTGGTTAGTGTTGAAAAATATTTTATCTACGCTGTGAATCATAAAAATGTTAATATTTTCAGGTGTGGTTAAGAACTTTGGCTGCAGCACCTGTTTACAAGTGACTGAGTATGTGCCTGATCCAAAGAACAAAAGAGTTCCTCTGAAGTTTGCAAATCTTTGTGATTTGTCTTCAAAAATTAGATCCATGTTCTGGTTGTGCCGGATTGAATCTCTATCAATGACTGAGCATCCGGACAAAACTGCTTTAGAGAACTTGCCTGAGCACATCCTTGAAAGGATCGCTTTCTTTTTGCCAAAGTTTAGACTTGGACAACTAAAATAGAAAACTGACTGAAATTAAGATTTATCCCAAAATGTTGGGAAAGAATTTGTAAATACTGAATTAAATTGATGAAGTGAAAATAAAACCAGTAATTTTCACTTGATGGACTAGTCTTGTTTATTTTGTAGAAAATCTGTACAAAATTGAAGCTCACATTGAGAATGATTGGACTCAAATTTTGTACTATCTCAAATTGGCACTGTTGGATAAGAAAGTAAAAAATGCTTCACCAGTGTAGTTTTCAAAGAGCACTAGTTTTTTAAATTGCATCAGTACGCTGATAATGCCACCGATGCCCTGCAAAAACATTTGCTAGTGGTTGGTGCCATTTTGTCCAAAATTTTTCTTAATTTTAAAAACAAGTTGTTTTCCAATTATAATTGAAGTAAACATTGATAGTGGACAAATAGACAATAAATGTATGAATCAAATTCATCTCTGAGCATCATATAAAATTTAACACTAGATTTTAAAATAAGCACCATGACAATATAAGAGGTAAATAAAAATTACTGGCTACCAGAATCTGTGTTTTGGGGGAGATTAGGAATGGAAATCATTCATTCGACTGATAATTTGAGGTTCTCTTCAAGGATAGTTTCAAGCTCTCTATCAAATAGGCTTGTGGGGCGCAGGGTGCGGTAGGTTCGCTGCGAAAGACGCCACACAAGACGCTGCTTGTTTTGGGAACTTTTTGGTTGTTCCTCGTACTGCTTCAAACTGGCCAGGACAACTTCATAGCAGTACCACAGACTGTTTTCATTTATCTGGAAAAAAAGATATTATGTATTTAAAAATCTCTGTTCAATTTTTTTTTAATCTTCTAAAACTGGTTGAATTAAAATAATCACCTTGCAGGCGTAGTAGATGTCCGAAATAGGCTTTGAAAGGGCCAGCCTTATCTTCTCAGGGCTATCCTGAATGTGCAAATGCAAGAGCACCAGAGCCAGTTCGCAGGGCCGGAAGTTGGAACAAGCGGAGTCGGCTGCAAGGACTTCAAGAGCAGCAGAATTGGGTCCTGTGAGCCCCAGGATAGACCTAAAGGAGACGAGGAAGTCAAAAGCCGTGGCTGCAATCGAGGAGCCCAGCTTGAGTTCCATCAAGGCTGCCATGCGTCCAAGGTCAGCAGCAGTGCAGCCGCACTGAGAAACGGCTGCAAGGACGGCCAACTCTGGGCAGGTCCCTTCCGGCTGGAGGGCACGTGCGGCCAAATGAAGAGCGGCAACGCCAATGACGGCCAGGTGGCGACGCAGAGCGCGCATCTTGGTCAGGAAGCGGTCCATGCTCAAGGTGGCCAGCAGCAGGACTTCCGCCGGAAGGTCGAAGCAAACCTTCAGACAACGCAGAACCTGCACCGTCTCGTCTCTCATTCCGGCAGTCACTTCGCTATTGTCCTTTAAAAATTTATTTCGTAAAAAAATATTTTACATACTTTCAAAAAGGTTTTTACATACTCTGGCCACCAAGGGTAACTGCAGTAGAGGCTGGAAGAGTGGCTCTTGCTCAATGAGGCTCTCGAGCTGCACCCACGCATCTTCCTCTTTGTCCAGCACCATCTCTCCTGTGGAGGAAATAAGTTTTTATTATACTTTTAAGATAAAAGACAAACGTTAATATAAAAGCAGACGTTTTTTTGGACATGATGTCTCATGTTTCATATTTTTTTTTTAATTTGTTAAATAAAAAAAATTATGATTTTTTCCCTCTTTTTATACAATAGGCGCTTACCCTCCTCCAGCAGGTGACCCATTCGGGCTCTCTAAGTTGAAAGGTTCCGTAGTTGACGCTCATCGGCCAACTTGAACAGTGAATTGCGTCATATTCACAACTCAAATGTCAAGTCGTATATAGCACGGGAAGGGTCAGAGAATCTCTGAGGGATGGTTGATTAACGAAGGTGAGTTGTTCTAGAGTTGTTCAAGTCGTCCTTTGAGCGCTTTTCAGGTTGGAGCCTCCAGTTAAAAGAAAAAATAGCGGCAAACTACGCCTAAAAAATTTTGGCCTTCATCGGCGTTTGATTTAAGAGCTTGGTTTGTACAAGGGGTTTGTACACCAAGGAGGAGGAGCTAACTGTAGTTGAAATTATATCCAATCAGCTCGCTGCTTTTGGTGCGAGTAGTTGCTAATTGGTGGCATCGTTTGTTTACGTTTGCAATGCGAGCCTTTGCCCAGCTCTCCGGATTCTCCGGAAGTAGCACAAATGGCGCTGCAGTCGATAAGCCACCCAATAGCGTGTTGAGGTTGAGACGCGGTAGCCAATCAAGCAGCAAGGATAAAAACACATCAAATTTGAGACTGCAGCAACAAAACAATAAGTTAACCAACAACTTTTTACTGCTAAAAATTTCAAAACAAATTTCTTATCATAACACTAGAGAGTACATTATTCTAAATCGCTCTATAACACGTACACCACTCAACAGATAGTGGGATAGGGCATACATTTTTACTGCGCTTATAAAATTTTGTCAATATCACATTAAAATTATCATATTTACATTACATTATTTATTCGACTCTTAATTTTTGCAAGAATTTCTGCAAAAAATGGTTGAGGTGTCCACAGTCAGGGAAATTCTGCGGAAAATATTTATGCATGCCGTCAAAGCAGCTTCTCCGCAGAAACTTATTCAGCAGGCTGTGCATCGCCACTTGAACTACCTCACTGTCCAGGACAGGCAGTATGTCTTGAAAAACAATGTTTACTTGGTGGGTAAGGGAAAAATAAACCTCCTTTTGAATTTATAATTTGTTATGATTTTATCTAAGGATTCGGAAAAGCTGTCCTTCAAATGGCGGCAGCCACCGTTCCCATCCTGAGTGACCATTTTCAAAGAGGAGTCCTTAGTGTTCCCATAGGCAGCAATCCTGAATTAATTCAGCAACTTCGAGGCCAGAACTTGGACGTGAGAGAAGGTGCTGAGAATAATTTGCCAGATGCTGCCGCGCAAGAAACAGCTCTAAAAATTAAAAACCTAGTCACTCAGCTAAAACCCGAAGACCTGTTGATTGTCCTAGTGTCTGGTAAAATCCACGGCTTAGAAAAAGTAAATGTTCGAAATAAAAATGAATTTTTCTATTCAGGTGGTGGTTCTGCCCTTTTGCCTCTGCCGAAGGAAGACGTGACTTTGGAGGATAAGCTCGACACTATCAGAAAATTAACGCAGGCTGGTGCCACCATCAGTGAATTAAACGTTGTCAGGACAAACTTATCGGCACTGAAAGGTGGAAGACTGGCAGCTCTTTCCGGCTCTAATAATGTGTTGTCCCTTATTCTTTCCGACATTATCGGAGACCCTGTTCACCTGATTGCCAGCGGACCAACTGTCCCACCCCTTCCATGCAGTGCCCTTGAGGTTGTGTCGAAGTATGGGCTACTGGACACCCTATCTGAGAAAATCCTGAAGTGCATCAAAGAGGAGGACAAGCTTATTTTTTCTATTGACAAAGTATTAATAAATTTTGAATTGATTTTTTTTGTTTCTAAAAAAATGTTAACATTCAGAAAATCCACAATTTAGTAATCGGAAACAACTTGAAGGCACTTGAAGCAGCTGCTAGCAAGGCTGAGGAATTGGGATTTGCATCTGTGATTTTGACGGACAGTTTATCCGGAGAAGTGAGAAAAATTTGCTCTTTCTATGAGCAGTTGTGCCAAGTTTGGTCTGTTCTGACCGACGTAGACAAACTTTTAAATTCGAGTCAATTTCCTTCTTTTCACGTCAATTGCGACAGCATAGAAGATGCTCGATGTATGATTTATATTAGTGGGGGTGAACCAACTGTAAGTTTGCACGGGAAAGGCAAAGGTGGACGAAATCAGGAATTGGCTCTGCGAGTTGCCAAAATTCTTCCAATGGGCTGTGTTTTTCTCAGTGCTGGAACGGATGGAATTGATGGTCCTACAGATGTGGCAGGAGCCGTCTGCGATCCGTCAAGTGTTCTACCCAGCCTAGATTCCTATCTTGAAATTAATGATTCACACTCTTACCTTGAATTAAAACTGGAGAAACGCGATTTTATATTTACTGGTCACACTGGTACAAATGTTATGGATATCCACCTTCTTTTTGTACAGAAATGAAGCTTTCGGAAGCTTTTGCTTCTTTAATTTTTGTAAAATAATATTATATTATTGAGATTGAAATACATTGAGGAATTATGACTATAAATTATTTACAATGGTGGTTCCGATTAAGTCATTTTTATATGGGGGTAAATAAAATAATGTTAACATATATTTGTAGATTTTTTTCTATAAAATGATATTGGAAGTGAAAAAAGCAAGCTTTGTCCTAAATAATTAAAAAAAATTTTAAACCAGTTCTTCCAGTTTTTTATCAGGGTCTGCTGGGGTCTGCAAGTTCTGTGACCCTCTTTCATGAGCACAACAAAAAATTTGCAAAATTTAAAAAAAAATATGCCTGCAGGTTAATGTCGTGGGAACAGCCGAGCACCCTTTAGTTTTAATTATTGACATTTACACATAAATATATATTTTTCTAATTTGATAGAGATAAATTGTGGTTATGTAGTTTAAAATTGAAATTTAGAATAACTAATGCTTCACCAAACACCATTATATCAAATGACTGTGTGAAAAATGCGCAACGTGTTTCAAATTCGCGGGACATGGAAAGCGCCTCTCTTCTCCATGGGCCAGTTGATGGCACGCTATGACCCTCTCATTAGCCAATCATAAATTTCAGCTGGGCGGGGGCGGGGCGATCCTTCCCTGGTGTTTTTGTTTCTTATGTTTTTCACTACACCTCAAGCTCCTCAGACTGACACTTCTTTTTTTCGTTAATTCCACTTGAAATTCGTAGACGAAAAGAACAATAGACCCATGCCGTCGACGGCACTGAAAGCGGCTGGCGTCGCGTCGGCGATTGCTCTCGTCATCGCCCTGATGCTGCGCTCGACGCCACTCGTGCTGGACCAGCGCCTCGCCGCCGTGCTGGAAGGTCTGGAACGTGTCGAGCGGCGTCACGGTGTTGGTGCCGGTACGCGAGTTGCCGTCGGATACGGCGCCTGCAACGACTTGTTCGCGGACGCCGCTGCTCTATTCGCAGACTCCTCGGCCAAGCCGACATACTCGCCGAGACTTCTGGAGCGACAACAAGTTGTTGACACCTTTGCCTATTTCTTCAGACACGGCGCCGCTGCAGAGTAAATTTTATTATTTGAAAATAATTTGTTGAGAGTAAAATTATAACATAATTATGTATGTTATTTACAGGAGATACATAGAAAATGCGAGTCTGTTTGACGAATTGGTGGAGAGCGCTGCTCGGTTGGCAGGATCCCATTTTGCCCTTGGAGGGAATGCCCCTGTTATGGCTTCGAGATTTGTCCTCGAGGGCTGCAATGTTATGCTAGCAGCAAAAATGTCTCACCAGTTGCAGGAGCACCTTCCTCCCGACCTCAAAGGTTACAAACAAAATTTGTGTTGATTTGTATAAAGTATTTAAATTTTTGTGATATATAATTTAAGTGGTTGGTGGTGACGTTACACAAGATGATATTCATCTCATCCTCGAGTACAAAGCTGGACAAGCCTGGGGAAAGTTTACTGCACCCAGGGCCAATAGGTACCAGGCCTGAATAAAAATATGAATTTTTAAGTTAATATTAATTTGATATTACGTAGATTCATCATACACAATGACGAAAATAATCCGCTCGTGAAATCTCTAGAGCCGTTTGGCGAAAAATTGACTTCCTTCTCACCGCATTTGTTGGTGGTTAGTGGCTTGCAGATGATGGACAACTATCCTTATGCCCCAGGTTGGATTAAATTTGTACTTAAAAAAACTTATCAAAATTTTATTTTTATGAAAAAATCAGGACAACGGGAGGAGCGACTGCAAAGTATTAGAGAGCAAATTCTTTCTGTTGGGCCGGAGACAAAGGTACATTTTGAAATGGCCTCATTTGCTGAGTTGGAATTGCTGAAGAAATTAATAGAATACATTGTGCCGTATGCAGACTCCCTTGGAATGAACGAACAAGTACGAAATTTTAATTGTATTTGTGGATAGAAAAAACAATAAATTTGTTGACAGGAACTGCCAAATTTGATCTCAATGATGCAGTTTGGCAATGTGAGTGTTGTGTCGGACTCAAATCCTCGAGTAGCCTCAGCGCTGGACCAGATGCGCCAGCTGTTTAGGATGCTGCGAGATGCAGCAGAGAGCGTTAACGCGAGAGGTGTCAGCCGCCTCCATGTCCACACCCTGGCATATCAAGCTATTCTTACTTCAAAGGACTCGACAGTAAAGTGAGTGTGAATCTGATGAAGGAAAAACGTTGGATAAAATTTAAAATTATTTTTTTCAAGGTGGAGTAACTCTGGTGGTGCCGCAGCCAAGGCGTCCTTGACTGCACATCGACATGTTTGTGCCTCGACTGACGTGGACCCGTCTAGAGCGCGCCTCCTTCTCGACGACAGCTTTGCCGCCTCCCGTCTCCAGAACAGCCGCCGTGTTGGCGTCGACTCGTCAGAGCCTGTGGCCTGCTGGGAAGAAAAGCTACCAGAGGAAGTGACCATTTGTGTGGCTCCCGTGCTGGTCTGCACAAGGGCATACCAAACAGCTGGAGCTGGAGACAACATCTCGGCTGCTGGCCTGGTTTTGCAGATCTGAATTTCCATTCCATTGAGATATATTTTGCTGCAACTTTGAAATTCCTCCAAAATAATTTGTTCCTCGTTAATTTTAAAACTCCTGCACCAAAAATTTCTGCGTTAAAAAAAAAATTGGTTTTCAAAAAGGCAGCACTCCTCATTGTCAGAAGTCATAGAAAACTGAAGTCATTGTTGGTTTTACTTAACATTCCTTAAACGGGATCAGTTTGATCTTGGGCCATAAATTTTATGTAATGGAATAGATAATTAGGGCGATCCAAAGGCTAATTTAACCTGCCATTCAATTTGGCTGGTTGTTTCATTTGTCCCGGGCCAGATTTGCTTTTGCATCGCCCTTAATATTATTAATTGACTGACCCCCATTTAAATATTATGGAAACTTCTTAATTACTTTTAAATATTAAGACTATTTTTTACTGAAATTCGAATGATGTTGGCCCATTTATTGCAGTTAAATTAAAAGCATTCCCTTTGAGCAAGCTTTTGTTCTAATTGAAAGGTGCAAGTTACCTTTTGTTATAATTTGTCCCCACATGATGTGAGGTTTGAACGCTGGATATTAAAATATTCCAACTGTCTGTGATAAAAAATAAATCACTTGACACCAACTGATTTTGAAACTTTTGTAACTGGCGTGTCTTCAGTAGAAATGTCGGTAGTGTTTTTTTTTTCTTCGAAGATGAACCACTAAGAACTAAAATAAAAATTGAACTGTTGGAAAATTATAAAAGGTTTGACTGGAAATACAAAAACCCTTATTAAAAAATTCACACAATAATTTTGAACTTGTACACAGTTTCAAAAAAGAAATCAATTAACTTGTCAGTCCTTTCGTAGCAGATTCTCATCTTATTTCACTTTACAAAAAATGGTAATGTCAGTAGATGAAAGAGGCGTCTGATTTTCTCTTGGTCAGAGCCTTCTTAATGGCCGTCCAGTCTTCCAGGATTTCAGAGTCTGTCAGCATGTACACCACATAAGGGCCAGACACAGTAACTGGTTTCCGACGACGCTCCGCAGGCGAAGTGTCCTTGGGTGCAGAACCAATGTCGCCACCAGTTGTCCCATGGCGGTTCTTCTTGGATCTCTTTGACAAACTCTCCATCCAGAGACCTGAGGAAATGTCTGTGTTGTTTCGATCGTCTTCCAAGCGCCGGATCTTCTCCTCCAGGTCACTGTTGATCATGTCCCTCAGTAAAGCTTTCTCGCTCTGAAAGAAAAATTCCAAAATCATTTTCAGATCGACTTAAATCAAATAAACTGTACTTCAAAGTTTTGGTGAGATGCGAGCTCCTCTGCTTCAAATTTGTTCATTATATTATCGAGGCGGAATTTCTTCAGCACTTCAGCCACATTCATTCGAACTTTCATGTTCTCCTCGAGGTCTTCCAAGGGCTGCAGGTACTCATGAGCTTTTCCACAGCGAACCTCTACCAATTTAGCTTCCACTTGATTCACTCTTTCTCGATATAATCTAAAATATTGACGTAATTAATTAAATTTTGTTAACAAAAATTAATTGAACACTTACTGCTCTTTAATGAGACTGAATTGGCGCTCAAGATCTGCCAAATCCTCTATGCACTCCACTCTCCGTCTAGCACAGGTTTCGTCATCCATTTCTATGAATTTTTAATTATTTTTAATATTATCCTTTAGTTGGTGGCATTCTTCACAAAACAAAAATAATGAAAACATTCAAATCAATGCAATTTTAACACAAAATATTTAATAAATAAAACATTATTTTTAATTTTAAATTCTAATCAAACATCCTTGATGATCATTTTATACCTGAGCTATCGTCCGAGTCTGACGAATCACTTGGATCCAGACTGGACGAAGATTTGTCCGAGTCATTCGAGTCCTGCTCCATATCCTCGGCATCGCTTTCATCTCGATCTTGCTCCTTGATTACTGGCATTTTCAAGCAAAATTGGCACACTGAAGCTTGTAACAATTTCCCTTCCCCGAAAGACTCCCTATTCTAGGTCCAGATTCGGATGGGGATCGAGCGCGGCGAAAAAAAAATAATACTCTTCCTTGAGCTAATCAAGATGGAAATGCTCAAATCACGCTGAAATTCGTTAAGCTCTATTTGATTTTGATCAAAATTTCGAAAGGGACTGATGTTGGTGTTGAGAAGTATCAGGCCAACACCAACAGCACAGCACATATGCACCCCCGCTGACGCACGTGCCACGCCTCCCATGCAAAATTTCTCTCGTGAGACGAGACTCAAGAGCCATCTGGCCACTATAATTCAAAACTCATCATGAGGAAAAAGTATACAATATTCAAGTTTAAAATTAGATTTCAATTAGAGTACTTTAGTTGTTGGTTAATTCTGATATTTAAATTTACTGACCGCATTAATACATGTTTCAAAATCGGGGCGAGCGGATTTAAAAATTCCCCAGGTGAGGCTCGAACTCACAACCCCGGCATAGCTTAGATACTGTCGTATAAGTACCGTGCGCTAACCAATTGCGCCACTGGGGATACGTCGGCGGAGAGGGCTGTTGTCACTACATAACCCAAAACGCACTTCGCCCATAATTTTGAGACTGCAACCGCTCGATAAGCTCACTAATTGGCAATGCATTTTAAAATAAAATATTGAAGTCTCATTTGATTTTTACAACCATATTATGTAATAAACAATCAGCAACTGAACAATTTGTATTTTTTTGCATTTTTTTTTCAAATTAATTTTCCTTAACTTCTGCCTCGCTCAAAACTATTGGAATCACTGCTGCTCAAGAGAAAATGAAGAAACGCCAATAATTTTGCAGGCTGGTGGAACAAAAAGTGGTTGGGAAGGTCCCACCGAGATTTGAACTCGGATCGCTGGATTCAAAGTCCAGAGTGCTAACCATTACACCATGGGACCTTGGTGGAAACCTGAGCGCCGGGATACACTAATTATAATCAGCCGCATGTACTGCGACGAGAGCGCCAGCTATGAAAAGTTTGTTCGCACTAAAAATTGTGCGCCAAATTTCACTCCGATAGGGAGGACAATAGCCGCCTTCCTAAAATTTTATATTAAAATTCAGTCGACAAAAACAGATCTGGTACACCAAAAGCCAAAAACTTCATCAACATCTATATAATTGTCTAAGAGAATTTCCCAGTATGTTTTATTCATTCCAGGGAATCACAGGTAATGAGGAGCAAATGTATAGCAAAAGTGCAAAAAATTAATAAACTCGTTCTTGCATTGAAAAATGCTCGCGCAGCTATATTTATGCCTTTGAATATATGCAGAAGATATCCTGATAATAAGAATCACCATAGATGCTGATCATTCATCGTCTCTTGTAATTTTGTCTCTTCTCGTTTTGCCGAGATCTTGGCCGGCATATATGCCGGCAACTTTGGAAAAGGTTGTTAAAAGCTTTAATTTAACACCAATAAAAGAAAACATCAAATTATGGGATTGAAAATCAAAATAGTGATCCGGTAGTTGAAGGGCGAAAAGTTAACATCAACTATGAGAAGCCAACAGTCATGATCCCAAAATAAATGTTTGAATTTTTTATATTTTTAATTGGTAATTTTTTTTTTTTAAATATCTAACTATTCTCAATGTTTTAAGCTTGCTAAAGTATCAAACCTCAATACCAAACTGAAAACATAAAAATTGCAGTTCCAGCTGAGTTCCAGCACAAAAATTATTGCATTTAAATAAAAAAAAAGCTTTCTTGTCAGCAAAAAAATAGTTAAATTAAAATATTATTCTTAAACATGTGCATAAAAAATGCATTAAAACATTTAAAACTCCTTATAACAATGAAAATCCCCAACCAAAACCCAAAATCCAACCATCCTTTTTTAACCATTAAACTAATTAAGGATTATTATGCCAGCAAAAATGGTGATTTTTAAATAATATATAGTTGAATAAAAAAAAAAAAAAAAAAAAAAAAATGGTTGGTGCCTTGTGCGCCACTAATAAAGGGCGCAGGCTGACACAAGCAAGTCCTTAGCTGAACTCAAAAAAAGCAATGACGTATCAAGTGTTCATTCATTTTAGTCACATATCAACCAAGGACCACTGTGAACAAAAAACTAATTTATTTTCCAGTAAAAGGATAAGTAAATAAGGAGTAAAATTAATAGCAACTTGGTGGTTTTTATTTTTAAAGTACAAAAATACACTAGCTAAAAATTCGTCTCGTAAAATTAAAAGAAATTTTCCAAGTCTTGTTGTTTTGAGGTTGCATGTTATCGATACGGGCCATGTAGAATCATTTTCGCAGTGAAATCTGCCTCGATTTGCGCAAAATGAGCAACAATTGTGTGGTTACAGTCATTTGTCTGTTGGAATAATTGGGACTAGAGTCGAAGGAGCAAAATTATTAAACAGAATAATTTTCTTGACGACATGATTTTATACGGCCGATTTATATGTCGATTAGTTGTAGACAAGACGCAGTCTAGGCAGCACGTTGCGCACCCTAACGGTGTACCTCTTGACCAACACGGGTGGTGGGTACCTGAGGCAAACAAAAATTTCAATATATATGGAAATTTGAAAAGGGTGAATAAATACCTCAGTGTAGGGACGACGGGGACTGGAACTGGCACGGCTTTTACCACGGGCGGCACAAACGGAACCGGGGCAGCAGCAACTGGGAAAGGATGGGCAGGCAGGGGAAAAGGTGCCACAGGTGCTGGTACGGGAAGGGGTGCAGGGGCCAGGGCGAGTGGGGCAGCAAAAGGTCCGGTCGCGTAGTGGTAAATACCATTCGCGGCGCGCTTCTCCACCGCCGGCTCTCCCAGAGCGCAACAAACCAGTGCCTGAAAAAAGGGAATAATTAAATTACATAACAAAAATTGATGTTGATAAGAAATTATTTCAATTGTTTATCATGCATTATTATTTGAAAAATATGGTGAAAATATTAAAGGTTAAATTAAATTTGGAAAAAAATGAGATTGCAACCAAAATGGCTTAGCGAATTTGAAAAAGTAAAATTTAAGCTCCTCCATTTGACTGAAATTTTAATGATTACATTTCAAAATTTGAATACTTGGCTTACCAGAACAACGAAGACCTTCATGTTTATCGTCTTGACCACAAGTGCTTGATTTTTTTGCGGCGGCGGTCCCTTTTATTCAGCCGCCCCCGCTTTCGCTCCAAAAAGGGCGGCCACTTTTCTCTCTGTGTTAGCTAATGACCGATTGATTTGTGCGCCGATCACGCGCCTCCTAATTGAACACTCTAAAAGAATTAGTTTGTTTCGCAGCTCATTTCGCTTTCATTCGCGCCATGCAACTATTGTTTACTTTTTACGTAACCAATCCTCTGCCCCAAACTGAGCGTAGATTCAATTTGTAAATACTTCATTTTTTTTTCAAGTCTTCTGAAATTTCATGAACTAAAAAATACCACATGCAAAGGCATAACATTTTTACCACATTTTTACTACTTTTACTCTCTAAATTTATGATTTCATATTTAAATAAAAATGAGTTTTTTCTATAAAAAAGTTGTATGAATAAATATTTGCTCTTATTAGTCGTGTTGATAGTTCAAACTTTGCTCAATTTGACACAAATTAAAATGACATATAATTATAATTAAACGCGTGGATTGCACTCAATTGCGTAGCACCTTTTTTACATAATTAATTTGGTCTATAGGTTATTTTGGCATCTCTTCCCGGATATATCATTAATTGCAGAACCATATATTTCACTGCTATGGGTCGAGTTGCAATTATCGCCACTTTCGCCAGTAGCGTATGATGTAGAAAGCGAGATCGAAAAAGGGTTTTGGTATTCGCTTGTTTCGCGTTATCAGTGGCCGCGCGACATGACTCTTGAATCAAACGCACCACATTCCGATATTACGCGGCCCACTTTGGCACCAGAGAGAGAGCCTCGCCGCGTATTCAAATGACCCACGATCTTCCTAATAGTTCTAAAATATTTATACCTTTCAATTTTATCTTTGCTCCACTATAGGGTTATTTAAAATAATTTGAATTTATATTTCCCATTTCCCGTAGTTTTAGGCTGCAGTGCGGCGAGTAATTGGATATTTATATATCGCCTCTTGGTAAATACTCGGTTATGAGTTTCATTGTCAGTGAGTTGTTCGCTTGCACTGTGTCTGTGTGCCTATTTTTTTCCCAACGAATTTTTTACAATTGACTTGTTTTGAGAAAAATAAATCGAAACGAACTGAATTGAAAAATACAATTTCCACAAATAATTAAATTCAAAACAAAAGCGCTAAATTCTTTTTGGGACCTATAAAAAGACGTTTCCGAAAAGAAAAAAATCGTGATTTGGGAATAAACGATTGACGAGAACATGACACTTTTATAGACATTAAAAGCTGCGCACATATTCACCAAATTTTCCTCTGCTGGGGCCAGCTGGGGCAAAGCGTTTCGTCGTGAGCGACTGCATCTGCTTTCGAAAATGAAATTTTTCTAAAACCGAGAAATTTTTCCCGGCCACACACAGTATGTTGTTTTATTATTATTTATTCTACTCAAGTCCTACAAAAAAAAAAAATTGAAATTGGAAAAATGAGTAGAAATGGTATGTAAACTAGCAGAGGTCTGCTGCTAAAACGCCCGACATCAAAAGAGACGCGGCCGCCGCGGTGAACGCCAAATTTTGCGTATAGACAAATTGCCCGTTTCAATTTGTTAAGAACCGAGCTTCAAAGAGTTTTAAGCTGCTTGAGGTGTTTTATTCAGGTTCGTGCAATTTTTCTACACAATGCCATAGCTTTTGTCAACATTTAAATTTTAAGGAATATTGAGGGAAAATTGCTCAGATAAAATTTATGTATACCATACCATAGTGTATAAAATAATCTATAGAAAAAGTCACAAAAATAAAATGTCAAAATGAAGTCACACAATTTTTGTTCTCAAAAAAATAACCACATGCTTGTCATACAGAATGAAATCAAAATTGTTGGTAATGGTAACTAAAAACAATAATAATGTTTTTGATTTTGGAGATGATTTTAAAAAAAATCGCGAACTTGATATCTTGGTAATTGTCAGTTCTGATTTTTTACAAAGAAAACTTAATTATTTCCACTTATTACGATTCTCAGTGTTTTTTTTTCACAGTACATGAATTTTGAGAACTTAAATTTTCTTTTCATTCAATCTTCAATCGCAGGCAAGTTTTCTTACACAAAATTAACATTCAACGCGGGATGAATCAGACTTATATCGTCACAGGGCTACAGGCCTGTGCGTTTTTCACCACATTTTTTCAACCTTGCGTCAGAGGGCGCGGCATCGTTTCCTATGCCACCTGCAGATGCCGCTCAGGTGTTCAGGTGCGCGACCTGAGTAAACACGAGAGTGTGCTCGTTGCTCGTTCGTTTTGTTTCCATTCCATCGGGAGTTCGACATTCGACAGTTCGAGAGTGTTGTTAGTTTTAGTTAGTCAGTGTGCAACTTTGGTTCCGTTCAATCTCTTGCGAATTTTGAGTGCAAAGAAGCCAGGGTCGTGGCCACCCTGAGAGACAAGATGATCTCGCACTTCGTCATCTTCACGGTACTGCTGCTCTACGGCGCTGTAAGTCAAAAAATTTCTCTGATCAAATTAATTTTCACTTTCCGTAAAAAACGAGAGCTCTTGCCCGTATGCATAATGCTTTATCCTTGGCCAATTTATTAATTTCCTGCTATGGCTGGCCGATCATTGTAGTGGTGCATTATTTCGTTCCTTGCCACCTTCGAGGGTCGTCGGTCAGATATTAAGTTGCAATTCTGGCCTCTCTTTGCCAAAAGAATACATAGCCAGATCAAACCAATTTAAATATTAATTGTTTGCGATTTACAGAAGAAAATTTTTATTTATTTTATTCCATAAAATTTGCATTATTAAATTAGAGTAATTTTGTAGTCAAATTTCACAATCAAGGGTTGATTCATCATGGTGATTTGAATTTAAAGTCGGCTTTTCCTCGATAGGTTTTGTGAGTTGTTGATTGTGTTGATTGTTTAAAAAAAGGATAATGTTTTTTTTATTATTTTTTTTTTATTAAACAATAAACAGGCTCACAAAACTCATCAAGAAAAAACTGACTTAAAATTCAAATCACCACAAATTAGAGTATATTATTAGTTCACCCTCACAAAACATAATAAGTAAAAATGATATTCAGAATCGTGCGGAATTATGCATAATAGTTGCATACTAAAATTTTGACAAATAAACTCAAAAACGACAATGTAACTGAAATTAAAATAAATTTATTGCTGCTTGTGAACCGAGTAGAAATTAAAAGTAATATTTTTGAACGCTATTGTAACTAGCAAAAATCTGCGGATTTTAAACAACAATAATTTATCTCATTCATGTCCAGACCAACCCACTTTTTTTAGAACAAAAAAGCCGTGATATTTTATTATCATGATTAGGGGATTTTATTGCATTGCGGAATAATTACATATAATACCTTTTGTTCCACCCATTTACAATTACGTTGTAAATACGACCCTTAGATGATTAATATTATAATATCTCATTTAACTTAATTTCAATTTGAAATAAAATTTCATTGTGATATGTTGAGCAAACTCGCTGAGTTGACCAAATATGCATTCGATCTAGGTTCTCTTTAGTCTGAACAGTCCGATTGTTTGTCAATAGAAAACTCTTATTTATCTCAATTAATTACTGAAGACTACATACAGGGAGTTGCTTGGGCCACTGTTAATATTCCTCTGACATCAAGATATGGGCAATCAAAAATAAAACTAAAAGCAAAATTTTCAGTATATTGCAACACTTTCAGCTGATTGAATTTTTTTGTTTAGGGACCGTTCATGAATGATTTAAGATGAATTGGACCGATTTTTTTTTGTTACTAGCACCACTCTGATTTTTAGATATGTTGTTAGGGTTGATGAGAAACTACTTTGACCAAATTTTGAGACAAAAATTTTTAATACTTTTTGAAATATTCGGGTTTTTTGAAAAACTAAAAAATGCTTATATCTTTGCTCGTATTAATTTTAAAGTCATGAATTTTCACTCTAGTAGGTAACTTTTTGTTCTGAACAACTTTGCTGTTGACTAAAATGTCGTAGGTCAAAGGTCAAGGTCACTAAAATGCATTTTGAGTTTTTAAGGCCCATTTTCTCAAAAAAGTATATTTTTGATATTTTTTGTGTAAATGCAAAAAATGTAGGCCGTTAAATTCTACATCTGGTCAGCAAAATTCGCGATGGCGTTATTTTTAGTTTTTAAGATATTTTCATGTAAAATTAAAAAGATGCGTTTTGCCGATATTTTGATATTTTTCTGTTTTTTCATTTCTAGGAGGACTAGAGCAATGCGGTTTTCACTGTTATACCCAATTTTTAATTCTGAACAACTTTTCTATTGAATAAAAATACCTAGGTCAAAGGTTAAGGTCAGTAAAATGTATTTTTATTTTTCAAGGCCATTTTTCTTAAAGAAGCATACCTCGGATTTTTTCCGTGGTATAGGAAAAAATGTAGCCCATTAAATTCTACATCTGGTAGGTAAAATTCAGAATGGCGTTATTTTTAGTTCAAAAGATATTTCAATAAGTATTTAAAAAGTTCGTTTCCGTACATATTTTCCATAGTAAATTCTAACTTTTTTTTGCTCTTTTGAAAACTTATTAAAATATCTTTTGAACTAAAAATAACACCATTCTGAATTTTACCTACCAGATGTAGAATTTAATGGGCTACATTTTTTCCTATACCACGGAAAAAATCCGAGGTATGCTTCTTTAAGAAAATTGGCCTTGAAAAATAAAATACATTTTACTGACCTTAACCTTTGACCTAGGTATTTTAATTCAACAGAAAAGTTGTTCAGAATTAAAAATTTGGTATAACAGTGAAAACCGCATTGCTCTAGTCCTCCTAGAAATGAAAAAACAGAAAAATATCAAAATACGGCATATCGGCAAAACGCATCTTTTTAATTTTACATGAAAATATCTTAAAAACTAAAAATAACACCATCGCGAATTTTGCTGACCAGATGTAGAATTTAACGGCCTACATTTTTTGCATTTACACAAAAAATATCAAAAATATACTTTTTTGAGAAAATGGGCCTTAAAAACTCAAAATGCATTTTAGTGACCTTGACCTTTGACCTACGACATTTTAGTCAACAGCAAAGTTGTTCAGAACAAAAAGTTACCTACTAGAGTGAAAATTCATGACTTTAAAATTAATACGAGCAAAGATATAAGCATTTTTTAGTTTTTCAAAAAACCCGAATATTTCAAAAAGTATTAAAAATTTTTGTCTCAAAATTTGGTCAAAGTAGTTTCTCATCAACCCTAACAACATATCTAAAAATCAGAGTGGTGCTCGTAACAAAAAAAATCTGTCCAATTCATCTTAAATCATTCATGAACGGTCCCTTTAATTCATACTGATTCATACAATTCAAAGGATAATAATTATTTATCAATTTTATACTGTACAAAATGAAAAATGCAAATTAAAAAAAAATAAATATCATAATTGGAGGAAGAACATCGAAAATTTACTCATTTTAATATATAATGAAGGTGAAATATTATCTGAGTACTTTTCTTTCTTTAAATTATTTTTTCAAAATTGAACATAAAGATTGTGATTGTAAACATGTGGACCAATAAACAACAACATTGACAAAAAAAGTGAAAACTGCATATAAACTAAATATTATAAATGTGCAATTTGCACTAATAACATAAACTCCGTGGAGCATCAGCTCTGCCCTTTATTCAGCGCATTGTGAAAACTGAAAACGAGATTCGTTCCCATTTCAAATTGTACCCCACCAGAAACTGCATAATTTTTTTTTTAATCTAGTGCGTTCTACCGCTCTGCGTTTGTTAGCATTTGATTGCGTTCGGTCACGCCGGCCGATTTTAGACAAACTAGACGATTCCACGCCACAACGGCCCCCAACTCGTTCGTCTTTCACATTCAAATTTACAGTTTATCTGTGCACCGGATTGACCGAAACCATTTCTGACTCGGAAAAATTTGCATTCACAAAAAATGTGAATATGTGCCGTATAATTTCTTAATTTCTGAGATTTTACGCAACCTTAACGAATTCAATTAGTTTTTATTTTACTCCAAAAAAGTCGGAACGATTGATGAATCAATTGTGAAAATGTCTTGAAATGCGTGTTCTACTTGCAAATATGCTAGATGGCGAAAGTAAATAACAGAAAAAAGGGAAATAAACATTCATAATAATAATATATAATCCGAGCCGAGGAAAGAATTTGAGCGTGATTTGGGCACCTTTCGCTCGCTTGCTATCCGGGCATATAAATAATGTAATGGAATAATTTTGCGTGGGTCGTTGCGTGTTGGCCAACGTCTCAACTCTCACCTGCTTGATTATAGCAAGATGAGCAGCGCAATCGTTCAGATATGAGCCAATGTTTGCAGAAACTATTTTTATTTTATCATTTAAGTAGCAGCGCTGCGTGCAAAACTTTCCAAAATTATAATTATTTTGACTGGAACATATTAAGATTAAACTACCTGGCAAGTTTCTTTATTTGTTTTATTATTTACCGTCAAATACTCTCCTATAAACTGTGCAGAAACTGACCTAAAATAGGCCTAATTTTTTACCATTATTCGGCCTTGTCCTATTGTCGTTTAATTTTATTTGCGAATTAAGTGGGCGCGCGCGTGAAAATCATTATCATAATATAGCAAAGTTGCACCAACGCACTTTTGTTACTTGTGTAAATTTGTTCATCTATTCATTTCCTTGGCGTGTAATTATGATTGTGTTAATATTATTAGCACACCAGCATTAACATGAGACTCTACTTTAAAGTAGAAGAATTAATATAAAATGAAATTAAACCGTTACATCAATAAATGAAAAATTCTTCTGGGAATTATCGTACTTCTTGCTTTCAACAGACTACATACATTTTACGTTCATTCATTATTTTATAATATCAAAAGATGAAAAAAAAGTAACTCATAAATAATTTGTTTATTGGGATTTATTGTGATTGGATTAAGATTTATTCAATTTTTGAACTTGTTAAAAAAAATATTAGTTCTTCTACTTGAAGTGAAATGTTTAAATAAAAAAACTTTTAAATGTGTTAATTATATTTTTTCCACGCTGTTTGTTTCAATGAAAAAATTGTGAATGGGTGGGCTGCAGGGGCGATATTATAATGTGTAAACATTACATTATGAAGAAAAGCTACACTAGTAATAATATAATATGTATAATAAAAATTATAATAATACTAGTAAACAGTAATAGTAAAAATTCTTCCACAAAAATACTAGTATCTCTATTGCAATCCAACTCATTTACAACTGGGTAAAATGAAAGATATAAATTAAAAAAAATATAATAAATTTCTTATAACAATTATTTACTAAAGTTATTCATATACTCCGATACTTGAGTGACTCAAATTCGGGGGACAAACACAAAATCCATTGTCAATTTCCAAGCGATCAATCCGTTTCATACTGTTGCAAAATTCGTATTTTTTTTTCATTTTAATCGTAGGAATTAGACCAGCATACTTTCATTTT